TTATCCTGGTTTTAGCTAAAATCATTGCACAAAAATATATTTTCCTCTGCTATTCGGGTGGCACTGGTACCCGGTCAGTGCATCTTGAGTCAAAACTGGTACGCTAATGCAAACCGTTCCATTTTCGTTTTCTTCCATTTTCATTTGTCTCTGCGTTTTTGCAATAGGGCTATGTTAACTTTATGCCAATACAAATATGATTTCCTATGAATGCAGAGATTTCCTATAAATTGGGCAGAAGTCTTTTAATATCAAGTTGATGAGGCAAAGTCATTAGGAAACTACTATGGTTTTGTTTCTTTTCTGCAATATGTTTATTCTAAGCAGAAGCTGATCAAACAGATCTTTGATTGACGAACCACTATGGGCGAAAGAAGAAGTAGCAAATAATCTTGCCAAGACACATTCGAAGTAATTCAACACCCACACGGATTGAATTTATTTACTTTGAATTTGATATTCTTTGTATCTTTTACTTTTCTACGCCTCTGCCATTTGCTGAGTTCAGATGACTTGAGATGATTTGAGTTGAGATGAGATGAGATGAGATGAGTTGAGATGAGTTGAGATGAGATGAGATGAGTTGAGATGAGATGAGATGAGATGAGATGAGTTGAGATGAGATGAAATGAGATGAGTTGAGATGAGATAAGATGAGATGAGTTGAGATGAGATGAGATGAGTTGAGATGAGATGAGACACGCTGACTGTGAATAACTGCGTATGGAAATGTAGCCTACGTGCAGACTCAGTTCACATGGAAATGTAGCAGCAAAATTATTATTTTTATTGTGTCAAGGTTTTTGCACCAAATTTAAAAGCCCTTTGCTGCATTCTTCTTTCGACCTCTGTGGTGCATCTGCTTTTTTGATCTACAGAAAATCAGATATTTCCTTCCTTGCACATCACTACCAACTTACTGTAACAGTAATCCGTTATCAAACGCCAAATCTTACACTGGCCACCATATCTCAGACAATCTGTAACAGGATTTGCTGATTTTGCGCCTCAAGAGATATTTCATTGACTTTTTCCAGTTCAGGTGGTCAACATTTTGAAAACTCTTAAAATATATATTTATGACGCCAACACTTTGCCGTGCTATTTAGCTTGGAGGTCCATTGTTAATATTAAAAAATAGCTATTGTGTACATATGTATCGGATATGCAAAATAAAACAAAATTCTGTACATATTTTTATCTAGAATCAAGAAAAGGCAACCCTTTGCTTGCCATATGTACTGTTATACTACACTTTAACTACAGTGCAACTAAGTATACAAAAAATAACTCACGGCCCTTTTCAACTTGTGGCAGAGAGGAACAGAGAGACAACGACTTCTTTCGTCAGCACTTTGAACCAACAGCAAGATGCTTCTCCCAAAAAGCCTCCTCTTAAAACTACTACAGCGTATTTATAGATACAAGCATTTTATAAGTATTAATAACAGCCAATCAGCTAAAAACACGTAAGTCCTAACACCAAAAGAAACATCGATAATTAACAGCGAAGTTACCAATTATTTAAATTTTAGCCTACAATAGTTGGAGTTCAAAATGTCAAAGTTCAAAAATTAACATTGTTCGATTTGGTGTACAACAGTACTCAATCAGTCTCCAGTTTTCCAGGTTGACAGGGGCCTATATTTAAAATCTCTGCAGCACTTTTTGGTTTCAGGGGTGCTTCGGGGACAGAGACATCTTCAGCATATAGCAAAATTCTGAACATGCATCTTTTTTATCTTTTTTCAACTTGCTTCATGCTTCCTACTGAAAATGATTCCATGATCGACCGGAAAAATCCCGGTGTTTCCTGACAAAGGACCATTAACTTCTTCCGGAAGGACGAACTTTGGCTATTTTCAGCCAATGCAACATAAAATAATCGATTAAAAATAAATTTGCTAATCATGAAATATGGAAAGCTAGGAAGATTATCATCAGCCAGCAGTGCTGAGGAGAGGGGGGGTCAGGGGGGTCACTGACCCGGGGGCTCATGACTTTATGGGGCCACAGATAATAACTTAGTCAAAAGTTGATAAGTAGCAATTCAGCTTCTCCATTGTCAAAACCTTTCAATAATAGAAACAATTATCGCAAAAGCCTTTGAAATAAAGTAAGGTAGAAGCAGCAATAGTATTAACCCCATTAATGTAACTCTAACAGAGCTAATAGCTTTCGGTAACTGTCTAGATAGTTAACAAAACAGTTTTCAAGACTTTGCATCTGTAAAAAGGTTAATTATGGAGCTATAGTCAAGTTTTTCGGCAATTTCAGTTTCCATGGACATTGAAACTAGTGAGCTAAGCCTGTTTTGGTCAATGGTAAAGCGAAGATAATACTTTATGAAATTTGAGCTTACTGGACGATATTTCGCCTGATGCAACACTAGAAGGCAAAGTCAGAAACAAATTTAATACAATGAAAAGATTGGGATAAGCGTTGCAAATTCGAATGCATGCTTAAGCTTGTTCACAGATAAAACTGAACTGATAGTCTGAAGTCTTTTGTGTGGAGGGTACAACCTGAAGGGGCCAGTTATAGACATGCCTGGGAGAGACAATGTGCCTGAAGGATTTTTTAACCTTTAATTTCAGAACATCTTCTTTGGCTCTACTAACCGCCAAGAGCCCTAATAACCAGTAAATTCAGTTGTTTAATCAATTCTTCATACTACAGTCATGCTGTTATTTCTAGTCACTTGCAGTCTTGGATGCATAAGATAGCAAGAAAAAATGCTAAAATAAAGTTCATGCAAAGCTAAAACTAAGCAAAATCCACTCATTCGATGTTCTCAAGAAGAAATCGTTATAAATACTAGAGATTGACTACATGTTTCTAAAGAGTAGATATTTAAAGTGTATTTTCAAAGGGTACTCATCGAGTGTGAAAAAACAGGAGCTGTAGTGGGCCAAATTCTCTTTACGGTTGCCTTCACGTGGCTTTTCATAATTTTTCCTTATAGTTTGATCTAATATAGTTACTTCGTCTTGCATCAAAAACATAATATCTAACAATTTTTAGCATTGTTTATTGGCGCCATATTGAATTAAAAGGTATGGCCAGAAACAATTTTGACATTATGAGAGATTGGTTACTTGCTTCTCTCAAGTATACACCAATTCGAATTTTGGCCTCGTTTAGGAAATTTCTCCAAACTTCAGTATGTACGACATTTTTATGCTCAGATTCAGCTTTATCATCATAATTTTAGGCTGGATACAATTCTTTCATATTGTTTGTGCTTGTATTTTGATTTAACGCAGAAATGAGGCTGTAAGTCGAATTGGTGTATTACGTGCTTCGTCTAATTTGTTTAAAATAAGAATAACTTTGCGGGAAACATGTTTAGCCTCAGATAAAAAAAATTAAAAATGAACAACATCTGTTTAGAGATTTGAAGATTTAGAGGGCAGATTTTATCAGCAAATCAATCCTGCAACTTAAATGGTTTACAAAACTGTTGTTTAGTGGTCTTAGAAAGAATTCATAGTATAAAGATGTGGAACAATTAATGTAGATAAAAACACTTTTATGATGCCATTTGATGTTCTCGTCTATTTTGTTGAGAAAATATAAACCAAAACTATTTGCGGTAGATTCTATGCTATTGGCATTTTTACTAATCGTGAAGTATGAAAGGCCACCTCTTCTTTTAAGCGCCTTCTTTGAGAAAATGCCTCAAAAAAGTTTGAAAATTTTAAAAGAGCAACCCAGATGTAATATGGTATCTTAACAGCTCTACATATCAAAAGTCACTTGAGTCAATGCTGTTATCAAATAGCTAATTCTAACACAACATTGAAAGATGTATTCAGTTATTTTGTTATTTCATATTTCATACTGGGAACCAAAGTAATTTCATATTTCAAAACCAAAAAATCTAAATAGTAATATTTTGTCCCCGAAAACTTTAATTATTTCACATTTCAATTTTCCCTTATAGGCCCTCTTTTGCTATCGCAGCCGCGTCTTCGCGCTTAATTTAATTGCGGATTGCGGCATTTCGTTGATTTTTGCACGGTTTTGCGGCTTTTGGTCTCCCTATAATAGGTCCCCTTTAAATGACCAAAGAAGTATTAGCCACCATCGCAATTTCAGCAACCAAAATATGCTGGCTACAAGATGGCTACTTTAGCCACTCTAGCTAAGTGAATTCCATTAGAAATTCAAGAAAATACCAAACCCCCTTTCTTGCTGTGGTTCTTTGATAAAGGAAAATTCTTTTTCAGAAGACGATAATAAACTTCAAAAACCATCGACTTCGACGTCTTTTAAGATACTGACTTTTTGTCCATTGCTAGAACAAGAGTGATATGCTTCTTTCATGCCTTAATATAAGCCTAGAATCACGTTTAAGTAAATGATTATATGATTTACATTTGATTCTTGCGATCATTATTCTCTATTTTACACCCTCAATGATTCTGCAACCTCTATTTTACACCCTCAGTGAACCTCTATTTTACACCCTCAGTGATTCTGCAACCACGGTACCCTCTATTTTACACCCTCAATGATTCTGCAACCTCTATTTTACATCCTCAGTGATTCTGCAACCACAATACCCTCCATTTTACACCCTCAGTGATTCTGCAACACCACTAGTGAGTCTGGTACCCAGGGTACAACCACGGAGACAAAGCGGACAATCAAAATCTTTCAGCCAGCCCATTGCCATGATTTTAGCAAAATCAAAAATTTCAAACAGTGACAAGGCCATTTACTACCCACTTGCATGGAGATTTTTGTCAACATTATGCCTATGATTGAAAAAATCCAAGCTGTATGGGTAGAAGAGATTAATGTCAATATTTATTCTAGCATCCTCCACCCCTAAAAAACAATCGATAATTGTAGGGGAAAAAATTATACTATTTGAATACAAGCATGATACAACAGAAAGACCGCGCACTTGACTTGTGCCCTTCCCCCCGTCACGGGCAACTTCCCCAACCGCGCATGGATTGCGCAATCGCAATATAACCGTTCAATACGTGTGTTGTTGTTAGATTAGTTGCGAAACGTGACACTGGTGGAAAGGAAGAATGGCTGAAATAAGCGCTGGTCAAGAATTTGAAGAAGTATTACATCTTCAGCCTCCAGAGACGTTAACAGGCAGTGCTTGGATAAAACATGCTTCTATAAATTTCATCGCAGGCTGCATGGGAGGTTAGATTTGTTGATTTGTAATTTTTAGATTCACCCTCCCTTTTTCTATTTTGTTTTATCATTCTTTATATCCAAATCCTTTTCAAAAACTGCTACCACATTTCGAATATTCTTATCATTCATATTTTTTGAAACTTTTGCGTGTATTTTGCGTGAAACTTTTGTAAAAAACGGCGCCATAGCGGCGGGTAGTCGCTAGGATATACATATGCCATACTCTCGCTCTATCGAGAGTTTCTGACCCTGAGATGGAGTGTTGTTTTTCATGTTTCAAAGTCAATGATTTCAATTTTATAATGCTTCTTTAATCATAATGTGAGTTTTTCTAAAAGTAAGGAACAAAGACCTGTAGAACCTACTCTCCAATATTTTTATTATTCTCCTTGGCAGGCAAATCACGGCCAGGCCTACATTTGTTTTCTACGCAGAGATTGTCTATAAAGAATCACCCTCAAAATCTTTCATCTTAGTACCAGAAGTCTCATTCGTGATTTCCATTTTTATCGCATTTGACATTAACTTTTTTTCTCTTTGAATTTGAATATTGTGGTCAAGCATGAAATTGATAACATTGCGTGATGCCATATGGGTCTTATGATTATAATATTTATTATGTAGGTATAGATGTAGACGTGTATCTAAGTATAAAATTGCTTCGTTGCTTGAAGCACCCGAAGACACTGTGAGAATAAAGCTTATGAGTTTTTTGTTGGTCATAGATATGACCCTGAGTTGTTAATAGTATTTGATATGAATATCTTATAAATTTTTAATAAATTTCGAAATTAAAAACATCCCCATCTATTATTGACTATATGATTCAACTCTGTGAAAAGATGCTATGTCTATAGCCTGCACCTATTGAGCATTTTGATGTATAGTTGTACACATATTAGTTTTAAGTCACAGAACAATTTGATTTGGAGAGAATCTTTGAAAGAGGGTGTCTGACTTAAAGATATAGGCTTGCCTCGTATTTAGATTGGTGTATATCTGGCAGTGTATATCTGAACAACCGCTTTCAGAATATAAGCATCAGACATGTATCATCATGTAAAATGACAGTTGCTACATCTATTTCAAGTTTTAGAGTCCCCTTTTTGAAGGCTTCAATAACTGAAAAAGCAAGGGCATGCAAACAAGACAGAGCAGTTTTCAACTAACTTCCATTCTTTCCATCTCAGTGCTGTTTGTATGAATTCAAACTTCTTTCCAAACTTTACTTGCTATAATACTGGCAGTGAGAAAACAAAAATATTAAAAATTTACTGGCAGTGAGAAAACAAAAATACTGCATTGAACTCAACCTAATTCTGTAATGTTATAATCTGAGGAGTGTCAGACAATAACTTATTTCAAAGCCATTTTCAAACATTTTTCTTTGAAATCCTTTTGAATCTTAGGTACCAGAGTTTAACAAAAGCTAAAGCTGTACTAACACTTTGACAGCTGAAAAGTAGTTTTACGGTTAGAACTGATAAAATATAGGGCATACAGTATCAAAACTTGATTTGGGCATCATGTAGTAATCACTCTTTAGTATTCAATATTTCTTATCAGTTATCAGACTTTATTATAATGCTCTGCCATGCCCTTAAGAATTGCCACCAACTTCTCCATGCATTATTTTTTAGAATGTCAAGGCTTTTGCTGTATGTAAGCATATAAAATATTATTTTTATCTTAAAATATTATAGCTGAATTTTAAACAGCTAAGAATTTTGAAGGAAATGAGATAGTGGAATAAAATTCTGGATTTTGTGATATCTTGTAATCTTCAAGGATTTGTAAAATTTAATGCATTCTGTAACACAACCTTGTTGAATCTCTCAATTGAATAAAACCTCTGATCCATTGTATTCTACCTGGTTAAGGGTATTCTAGGCCAGTCATAAAAGGCAAAATTTGGAAATGAATTTCAGGTGACACATATACCCCTTTTCAGCAGAATAATCTCAACTCCAGTCTATATAACAGGTGGTAAGGATCAACATTGATTTTTAAATAAGAGTGAACATAATGGCTTCTTAATGTGTAGTGAAATTCATGTGACTTTAGAATATTAGGTTTGTGATTTCAACTTCTGCCTTGAATAATCTTTTCCTTAAAAGCAGGTAGTGTCAAGCCTTTTTCAATTTAGACTTGCCAATCAGGAGGTAATGTTTGTGGGTCAATGCCCTCATTACTGTCAGAAAGCAACCTCTTATGCCAATTTTACCAGCAGAAAACACCAATGGCTAACTTTTGATTAATAAAGGCAGATTCAATATCTTTGAATCACAAAACCAATAATACAGTGCTAAAATATTACCTCTCCCAAACATTTTCTCATCAAATTTAGATGAAATACAAAATTGACCCTCAATGTCACATAGAACCATCAATGTCACATAGGCCATGTCAATGCCTGAAAGTCGAAAGCTAAAAGCTTCCAGCTGTTTTATGCCTAGCAGAATAAGACAAATTCCATATAAGAAGCTCCAAGCATTTTTAAACAACCTCTAAAAGTTATTGTGATCCACAATCTTTAGCTTCTCTAGGATTTCTGCATACAAGGATTAGCTGATAAAATTGAGCCCCTCTCATGTAGCACTTTGATGTGTAATAAGATATAGATTGCTGCTTGCACAATTTTGTGTGTGCAATGTGTAGATATCTTGAACAGCTATTGACACACCTGATTCAATCTAATTGAACAACCTTTTGAGTAATTTGTATCTAGTTACCTCATTACATCAAGTTCATTCTAAGGTTAAATCTAGTAATTCCCGTTTCCGTATAAAGATTTGCTTCCCGTCGCCTTTCTCCTGTTTACAGCAGCATAATCAGGAGAGGGTAGCTGGGGTGAAAACCTGAGGCTTGGACCCCAAAGTCATCTGTGAGCAATTTATTACCAGGCAATGCCTCATGATAAAGCCTTAGTATCCTAAAAACACGTGTAACAAGAGTGGTTCACTAGATAGATGCTTTTTAACATATAATGTTGCATATAGAAGCGTAATTACCCTATTAAGGTAATAGGCTCATTGTTTCTAGGGATGTTTTAGATAGTGATATATGGACTTTGGACTTATATGTACTCTGTTAATTCATGTAGAAAGAATGCGTAAATGTGATGTTTTGGGTTTTACGGTCAGTCGTCAAAAGGGAAATAACGGAAAATTTTGAAACAAATAAAAAACGGAAAATGCTTGAAAGGATGGAAAACAAGCGACGCACTTCAGCCTAGATATCATGTTTCGAAAGATGGGACTGTTGAGCTGAAGGAACTTTTGTGGTAAAATTTGTGTTTGTCATTCATAAGGGTATACCGGAAAATATTCAAAGTTTGCTTATCATTGAATTACGTCGGGAGGGCGACCATCAGATAAAAGCAGTGGGTAGAATGTTATTGGCTGTAGCGATCAGAGAAATAGAAACAGGAGAGTTAAGAGCTTCGAAAGCCCATAAAATAGGAAAACAGTCTGATTTTAAAGAATAGAAAGCGGAAAACGCGAATGACGAAGAATAGAATCAAGGTTTGCAACCTGCACGTTTCAACAAAGATAATTAGTTACAGAATAAGTACCTCATAAGATCTAAAAGTAAATGGAAACGTTCTAGTTCCGTTTATTGCAAGTAATATTTGACCAGATTTCGAATTCATACATTTAGCAAACTTTTTCATAGTTACTTGAAAAGGAGTAATTTTTTTTATCTTTAGAATATTTGAATAAACTTAAAACACTCTCGAGAGTCGACAAGAGAAGGTGATTCTTGAAACAGTCTTAGGGTGTCTGTCTGTTAGTCGCTTCCTTGAAAAGCATATCAGGAAAATATGTAAATGCGAAACTGTAGATATGCTCAAATAAGTTTAACAGTTGAGTCTTTTGTCGTATCTTTTAGCAGGGTTTAGGCAAATAGAATCTTTGTACAAAGACGTTAGTGAAATTGTCGGCTTGTAATTCCCGTTAAATGCCAGTTAGAACATGACTAGTATGATACAAGATTACCGGCTTTTGAATTGATTTAAATACAAGCTGATTAAGTTGATTGATTAAAAATTATTCAGTTGGTTACCTCTTTTGCCCTGTAGACTGGATTACATTTTATAACAGTAATTTCACTTAGAAAGACATGTTAATCGTAGACCAAAATAAATCGGGACCAGTAAACATAATTTTCAAGAAATTATCTATGGAACCTTTAACGCCTGCCTCGTCAAAATCAGCTATTTGATATCTCAACATTGTTTTTCCGTCGGCTTGAGATGATAGCTTTAAGTGGGTGTAACTTCCTTTATCTCTGAAAATGTACTGCAACTGTCGCGAGAACTGTCATATGACTTCATGTGATAACTATTAGTGGGAAAATTTTTCTTCTTCTAGTGTTCGGTTTCTAGAATTTCCATCGGGTCAATAAATACTTTGCTAGTTACATGGAATGTATTTTTGTCACGTTTCGCACATGAGTAACAGAGAAACAAGAAATGTTGCGTTGTAAACCAATGCGCGAGTTCTTTAAAGAGTGAGGATAAACAAGATATTCTTATTGGCAAGATCAGTCACCCCTGAACCCTCAACACTACGGGGGTACGACTGCTACCATAAGGGAAAATATCACGATTGCCTAAAACGCAGGACAAGATAAAAAGAGTAAGTAAAAGATGAATAGAGACTTCCAAAAGATTTATGACGGGAAGGAGGGAGGAGGGATGTGATTGTTAAACATCAAGGATAATTTATGTAATATAGTGATGTCTATCAAACTTTCTTTGATTGGATTTTATGATTGAAATATGCACTAACAGACTTATGATGAAATCCCTAGACCTTATTGTTCTTTCTTTCTTCATAGGGGCCGCAGGAACGTTAGTTGGGCATCCTTTTGACACAGTCAAGGTTCGTCCTAAAATGTTTTCATGAATGTTTACATACATGAAATTTCTATGCTCCATATTTTGCATTGAGTTTGTTTCATATATATTATTATAAGTACACAGGCGTATATAAAATAAAGTAATTATGTGTGTTTATATTTATATACTACAGGGTTTCGTGAACATCTCCTGAAGAGTGAGTTATTCACGAAACAGGCTTGTGAGTTAAAAAATGTAGTTTTATTTTCTTCAACTCTATGCGATTTTACGCTCTACGTGCAAATGTATTGAACACTGTTCTACGGAACTATCAACAGACAAATTTCTATATATATATATATATATATATATGTATATACAAACTGGAGTTTGATTCCGACCAAGAGTGGTTCGATACAATTGGGCAGCACCCTTGTGGAAAAAAATTTTCCTCCTATCAGCATTTGCCATGTGATTATATATATATGTATATATATAAATATAAATACATCTCTGATTTATTATATTTTCTTTTTCCAATGTTACACTGTTGTACAATCATCTTAGTTCAGAAATATGTAAGAGTGGGAAAGAGCCTGGTTTTTTGTCCAGGAAAACTGGTGTCTTGTGTCCAGAAACGTGATCTTTTTTCCTCCGGTCAATATTTTGCTCTGGAATCCGTCTTAAAAAACATCGCTCGCCCTGGCAAGTTTTTTCCATCTTCACGAGTCAGTGACGTACCTTCTTGTGTTCTCTGTAGGTACGAATACAAACTCAAGGTGCTAAGAAACTATACACTGGTGCTCTAGATTGTGTCACCAAAACCATCAAAAGTGAAGGAGTAAGTATACTTTACTAGCATCAACATTGAGTATTTGACTCAGTTAGTTGGTCAAACGTAGCTATTTCATGTGAATTCCGAAAGACTCTGCTAGGACATACAAACTTGAAAATAGGGTTGCTTTTTTACTCAGTCAGATGTACGACTGAAATACGACAAATTTTGCAGTTGCCTGAATATTCTCAGTAAAAAGGGTTACAAAATTTTGGCAAAGTCAAAGAAGGGTACATTTTTCGCAACACATAATCAAAGATAAGTGTCCAGTTTCTACTTTCAGAAAAACACATGATTTACATTGGGCCAACTAACTTAGTCCGCCGGGTTTAATTGGCATGCTTTACGAGGTTTTAGAACTATTGTGCACTGGAAAATATCTTTTTGAGGGACAGATCGTTATTGATTCGGAATTCCCCATCTTTGCCACAATTATGAATGGAGATTCCCGATCCTTCCTGCAATTCTCAGCTCTTTGATTGAAAAAAAAGAAGGATGGCGCACTTTTAAGGAGGCTTTAGCCTATTTGTCTCACCAACGATTTTGTTTATCGTACTGTACCAATGGTTGCTAAGCAGCTCAGTTCCTAAGATCTCAGTTCATTATTCTGCTTAACCTAGCAGAATCGCCTTGCATTTTTTCATAGTCAATGTATTTTGTACATTTTTTGAAGACCCTCCAAGACACATTGTTTTTGATAAATCAATGAAAACATATTAATAAGAAATATTATATTGACTTGATTAGCATTAACTAAAAAAACTTATACTCATTCATGTCCTCGTGTTACGGGAGGGTGGTTGCAAACAAAAAATACTCAAGATTTTGAGAAATTCTTTCTATGGTTGATATTCAGAAAATGAAAGTATTAATGAACTCAACGAAGAAATGAAAATTAAATTTACAGTTGAATTCCGTGAATTCAACCTTCAAGGAGGTATGGAAATGTTCTGACGTAGCGAATTTCTGACTTTTCCGGCGTACGACTTTTGACTTGAATAAGGAAAATGGAAAGGGATTTGAGAATCAGTCCGACTTAGTGAAAGTCCGACTTACCTGGGCCACGACTTAACGGGATTCAACTGTATATCTACCGAAACAAAACGAGATACGATTTTTTGATCCAACCATACGACAATCAAATTGTTAGCATCCTTAAAGTTTTCAGCTCGTTGGTTTATAATTTCGATATGTAAAGAATTGCAACATATATGGATATGAACCTTGCTTTTAAACCTCTACAATTGTACACAATGTGGTAGGCACGCTTGTTACCCGTTCTTCTAAGTACTCATTTATGCATCATACAAAATATTAACATGCACATATGCAAAGCGAGTATGCCATGGCCAAAATGCAACATCATTTTGATAAAGTTTGTCATTCCAAGCAAAACAGGTTTTCGTTATCTTTTCCCTGCCTCTGGTCCCTGAATATTGCAATGTGTTCCTATTGAGTAGATACTAACTTGGTGCCTTGAAGAGGATTGTTCTGCCTTGCTTTGTTAAACATGGGTAATACCACAACTGTAGTTTTGCAGTAGGCAATTCCCAAAGAGAGTATGTCCACGGCTATGGCTACAGTTATGTCCAATAGGGACAAAAGGTCCAGAATTTCCCAAGCCTACATGTCGTGTGTGCTCTGAACTATTTTTTTGCAAGAATAGTTAATTACATACATAGTATATTTGGTACTGTTATAGTCTAGATGCCATGAAACAATTCTTTGTGCGTAGGTAAATGGCGTTTACAAAGGGATAACTGCACCACTCCTTGGCCTTACCAGTATCAATGCAATAATATTTGGTGTACATGGGAGTGCAGTGAAATACATGCAACCAGGCCTCAGGACAGAGGTATTAGCAGGCATGATGGCGGGAGCTGCACAGATGGTCATTATAATTCCAATTGAATTAGCTAAAACTAGACTCCAGGTTCAAGGACAAGGCCAGCGACTTAAGAAGGACAGAAAAGTTTACACTGGCCCTTTAGATTGCTTGAAGAAAATATACAAAATGGAGGGAATCCGGGGCTGTTATAGAGGGACATTGGCTGGTATTTTACGGGATATCCCTGGATTCGGTGTTTATTTTGGTACTTATTTCACATTAACACACGCAATTTTACCTAAAGGAAAAACAATAAATGATATAGGGCCAATTGAATTAATGCTGGCTGGTGGACTGACTGGGATGATCTCGTGGACTTTCTCTTACCCCGCTGACATGATAAAATCGAAAATTCAAGCCGAAGGTTTGGCACCAGTTGGCAAGTATAAGAGCTATGCAGACTGTATTAGACAGAGCATCAAGGCAGAGGGTTATGGTGTGTTTACCAGAGGACTGTCTGTTTGTGTTGTTAGGGCTTTCCCTGTCAATGCTGCCACTTTCGCAGGCGTAGAGGTAGCATTGAGGCTGATGGGAGAGCACCGCAAGACGTGAATTTTATAACAGCGTATTTGAATTGATAGTTGTTGTGGTAATTAATGAATCTGATGTGACTCTGTAGTCGCATCAAACCTATGTAATATAAACGTTTACATGCTGCTAGTTTAACATGACGGTTTTTCAAATTTTATGTACTTTCACATTGGGTAGAAGAACAACAAAGGGTAGACGTAAGGAGGCGCGTTTTGTCATGCCTAATAATAATTTTTAACAAACTAATCCGACACATCCTCAGCCATTCGAACATTTTCTATCACATATTTGTACCACGTGGAATTTGAATTTTATTGGCCTATAATCGTGCGTGATTTATGCCAGTGAGTGTACGTTTGTATTTATTTTGAATTATTTAAATGGTAATCGCTAAGTTCACCTGAACTTGGTTGTACTTTGTAAGTTCACCTGAACTTAGAACGTAGTTATTTGAGTATTTTAGAAAAATTCAATTACAATTGCTGCCTAAAACCGAACCAATTTATGTCTCACACATCTTGAATTCAAAGCACCTAACTAAGCGCGATGGTTTTATGGAATGTGAATGCTGAATGCTGAGAGAATGTGCCGGGAACTTGCTCATACATAAACAGTCTTAGCAATAAAATCACTGATCTCAGAATAATCGCTGAAAGATGTTTACCTGACGTATTACTCATAGAAAAAACCAAATTAAACTCTGATTTTAAAACGGAATCGTTTCTCATTAACAATAACAAAAGTCCAACACGCCTGGATAGGTCTGAATTGGGAGGAGGTCTTATGCAATACTCAAAGAAAGGCATTATTTGCAATAGGTTGCCCAATTTTGAAGTCTCGTCTCTTGAACTATTGTGTTATGAACTCGTAGTTGCAAAATAGAAATGGATAATTTATAGTATTTACCGCCCACCAAATGCTTATTGAGGTATTTTTCGTCTTCAAAATCACTTGAGAAAATTGAAAGGATACAGGAACGCGCGCTAAGATTTGTGTACAATGATCATAAAAGTTCCTATGATGATCTTCTTACTAGGTCAAAAAAGTGTACAATGCAAGTTGCTCGTCAGAGAACCCGCTGTATTGAAATTTTCAAGACAATTAGAAATTTGAATCCACCTTTTATGCATAGCATTTTTAGTTCAAGAACTTTAAAACATTCTTCTCGGAATCCTAACAACTTAAATCATTTTCGACCAAACCAAGTAACTTTCGGTTCCCAGAGGCTTGAAGCCATATGACCTCAGATCTGGAATTTTCTGCCAAATGAACGAAAATCATCTGACAATCTTAACAGCTTCAAACGTATGATAAAACGATGGGATGGTCCTAGCTGTAAATGCAACGTTTGCAAATATAATGATATCGATATCCTGTAATATTTGTCCATTCATATCCAAGTTGCTTCAAGTATTTAGCTTATGTATGTACGTATTTATTTCCATAGTTATTTCCTCTTCATATGTTATACAATAGCTTCGATTTAGATTAGTTGCATGTTTATATATCCATGTATAGTTAGAAGCAATATCGAATTAAAATATGGTTGCAAACAAGCAAACAAATGGAATAATTATGGTCAGTGAAAACATACAAGAAGGTGCATCTGCCAGGTTGAATCACTGGCCAACCTTAGCCATTTCCAATATACCCTCTTAGTTTATATTTTTATTGAATAATGATATAATTAGCTTGTAATTAGCTAGAAAGTTCAATTTCATGGGTTAGCATGTTTTACAGTGTACAGAGTGGTCATTTTGTCATAAGAGGTGATAATTCTGTAGGAGTATTTGATTTCCTGCTCTTTCGAAAGAAATTTTTGCGGGACAAATCCAGTATTAGAGAACGGTGTCTGTCTAATCCGGTTTATGTTTTGAAGGAGGGGCAGTTTTGTCTGTCCAAATTCAAAAGAGCTTAAAGCGGAACAGAAAGAGAAGGAACTGAATGGAAAGGAACGGAGTGCAACAGAAGGGAATGGAACGGAAGGGAATGGAATGGAACGGAAGGGAATGGAACGGAAGGGAATGGAACGGAAGGAAATGGAATGGAAGAGAATGGAACGGAAGGGAGCAGAATAAAGCGGAACAGACGGAGAAGGAAGTGAATGGAAACGAACGGAGTGCAACAGAAGGGAATGGAACGGAAGGAAATGGAACGTAAAGGAATAGAACGGAAGGGAATGGAACGAGAGGAAATGGAATGGAAGAGAATGGAACGGAAGGAAATGGAATGGAGGAGAATGGAACGGAAGGGAGCAGAATAAAGCGGAACAGACGGAGAAGGAACTGAATGGAAAGAAACGGAGTGCAACGGAAGGGAATGGAACGGAAGGGAATGGAACAGAAGGGAATGGAACAGAAGGGAATGGAACGGAAAGGAATGGAACGGAAGGGAGCAGAAAAAAGCGTAACAGAAGGTGAAGGATCAAAGTGGAACAGAACGAAAAGGGTATGGAGGACGGAAAGAGAAGGAATGAAACAGAACGGAAGTGTTCGGGACGGAAGGGAGTGAAAGAAACGGAACAGAAACGGAATTAGAAGACGTAACGAAAAGGAGCAAAATGCAACGGAAGAAAAAAAGAATGAACAGGAAAAAGAAAGATTGGGACTGAAAGGGGAATGAAAAACTTCTTAAAAAAGCTAACATGGCAACAGATCGAAATCGACAAGGCTTTCACGAAGTCAACTCAAACGTGGAATACCTCTGTTATCCAAATTTCCATTCCGCCTGAATATCATTTAAGATTGTTATGCCGGGCAAGGGCTATAGCAGATCCTCCAATGATTTTAGGACAAATTCGATAAAATCGTTTTTAACGTTCCATTGAGTCTGCAGTGTGACGTAAATCTAAAGCTTTCTGATATCTTTCTGTCTGAGTCTCATTTATCGTCAGGATATCCTAGCGATCAATGTCGGATCAAAATTCAAAAGGACATTTCACATTTTAAACGAAAACCATTTTTAGAACATTGTTGCAAACCTGATAATCATAGACATGATCAATATTTCGGGGGTACAGAACTGGAAAATGGCTTTGAAAAAAGCAAACCTTTGGCAACATACTATAAAAGCTTTTTCGTCTGACTCTCCTCAGAGAATGAAACGTCAGAATAAGGGTCCGAAAGAACACGATGGAAAATATATCAAGTATTTAGTCATGATCATAATCATAACAATAAAATAGAGATCATTCAACTCCAGTCAGACGCTTTGATGAGAGAAAACTTGTCGCAAATAGAGCCAGTTCGAAAATAGTTTTAGTTCAGAACCAAAACCGGCTCCATCTAGGCCCTGGACCAGTCGTGCCCGTGTATACGCAAACCAAATGGCTTCATTTAGGACCAGAATTCTTGTTAGCTAGGGGGAGCTGAGTTTTAGAGCTTTCAAGTTATCTGGAACCCCTTTGGTTGGGGGCCCTTAGTTGTCAAACCACAGTGTGATCAAACTAATGTGCCCTAAATCGCGTTACGCCACTGGCGTTAGGGTATGCAAGCGTGAATCATCAGCAAAGTCTTTTAATGTGTAATCTTGTAGATTCATGGTCTATTCAAAGGTGGTTGGACAGTGGTTGGGCAATCAGCCCTGAACGCCATCGTTTTCGGCATTCAAAGAACAGTTATGCATTTCTCAGAACCTGGACTAGGCAGTTAAATTATTGTAGGTACCTTAGCAGGGGCTGCACAGACTCTTGTGAGTTGCCCATTGGAGCTGGTCAAAACAAAGTTACAAGTACAAGGGAAACGAGAGAGACTTGTGAGAGCCAAGAGACATTTTCAAAGGCCATTGGATTGCGCCGCACAGATCTATCATCAGAGGTCTCTGGTTTGCATGGCGCCCTGAAAGTAACTTTGATTAGAGATATTCCTGCATCAACATTCATCTAGCCTTGAAGAAAGTACAGTGCACGAGAAATCATAAAAAGACAGGAGATAGACGATTGTTAAATAAGCCAAAGTCGGAATGCTTCCAAAGCTGTCAACATGATAGCATTAAAAGCATGGCCCTGGGGGAGCCGCAAATCATGTAGTTATTTTCTAATTCATTTCATTCAACTGAAAATAACAACATTTATTTAGTAGCTAATTAAAATTACTTATAAGAGTCTTTCGAACAGTATTACTAGTCACTCTAGCTAGAAAATGAAAACCTAGACATAAGTTTGACATCAAGTAAAATGAAAAATCACCACTACTACAGTACAGGTACTCTGTTATCCTTAGGGGAGGGGTGGGAAGGAATACTTTTCCGCAAAATAGCTATCGGCGTGTGAACTTAAAATTTCAGTGGTCTGTACCATTTATACTGACACAACTTCGCGTGTAAAACAACTTGAAATAACTATCACGCTTGCAATAAAACTCTATTGTAACCTTCTTAAAGAGTCCGTTCTCTTTCTTTCTCCAGGGACTAAATAAATTCAGTAGTTAAGGGTCCTTTTTGGTTCTTCTTTGTTAATGGTCCTAGGGGTCCTAGGTTCATAGGGTCTGGTTTTTCCAGTATGCCAAGTAAACGGCATTTATAAAATAAATTTAGTCTGCAGGATAATAGTCATCGTGAAGTTGTCAATCAAACACATTCTACCTCGCGGTTATGTTTATCACAGGAATCGCTTCTAGGACCGATTATGTTTATGTTTTTTGGATGAAATGAACAGCGCAAACCTGCAAACTTGGTTTTTGCTATCAGTACCAGTCTACAATTCTTTACAAAAGTCCTTGGAACATGCTGCGGCCAATGAAAGGTTTTGATGAAATAAATGTTTCGGCCATAAGATACGAAATATCCCCCTCCCCCCAAATAAATGTTGGTTGAAAAGCCAAATACTTACCCTGGCTAATAAAATGACATTGGATGAATTTCGAGCTTTGAAACTGTTGTTATTCAACATTGTTTCAAGGAGGAGAGGGGATACAACTGAAGTTGTGCGAAATTTTAGCTTAGTGTACCAAGACTTTTGGCAAGAATTGTTTGTCATCCACAGTCTGATTGTAGTTTGTAAATAAACCTATCAAACTCTGAGCTGAAAGATGTCCCTCACATGTTCTAAATTGTAAAAATAGCGAGCCTTGGCAAATTTCTCTAGGCCAAATGTCATCTACACATTGGCAAGGATGATAGGAAAAATGCATTTTTTAGTGATTCTTTTAATCACATGAATGCTTCATAAACGAATGCTTTAAGAATGTTTTATGAAAGTTCAAGCCAGACGTCTATATTAAGAATTCAAAGAACACATGTTATACTCAAGTTTGAGAGAGAAACTTGCGAGACACGATGTCAATTATCTCAGTTTGGAGACCATTTCAAAGATTCCTACATTTGGCATCAAGGGATAAGTTTTTCGAATCTTTTTTGGAGATTTTTCTGGGAGCTTTCCATAGACAGTTTTACTATCACAGACCTATCCCTTTTATTGTTATTAGCTCATTTAATTGAATTTGCACGAACAGTAGGCTTGGAACTGAAGATACGCGACAATGAGCTCGAAGTAGTTCAAAAGACAAAGTACCTTGGAGTGCAAATCGATTTGGAAAGAGCAAATTAAGGCAGTTTCCACCAAGGTCTCCAGGGCGATCGGCTTTTTGAGACATGCTAGATCCTTACTGCCTATGGCAAGTTTGAAAACCTTTCACTGGTATTGTGCAGCCCCACTTTAGATACTGTTGTTCTGTCTGGGGTTGTGCTGGGTCTACAGACATCGACTAGTTACAAAAACTTCAAAATCGTGCTGCTAGGATCATAACAAATAGCAGCTTTGATACCCCAAACAGACCACTTACTGCAGAGTTGGGCTGGAAGACCATTGAAGAGCTCATGGGCAATAAGACTAAAACAATGGTCTTCAAGTTGCTCTATGATTTGGCTCCTCAATACTTGTGTAGCCTCTTCACCAAAAACTCAGCATGCTCCTCCCGCAGCCTCCGGAACACTGAGACTGATTTAAGGTTGCCAAAGAAAAGTTCAGCAAATGGACAAAAATGCTTTTCTTTCCGGGGAGCTAAACTATGGAATAGCCTTCCTGCTGAGACCAAGACGACATCCTCCCTGGGCGGCTTCAAAAAATCAATACAGGGTTGACTAGTTCTTTTTATACTGTATTATACCATGTAATTGTAAAAAGGTTTTTAATATTATGGTTTTTTTTCTAGCATTTTAACTGTATATTGTAATTAGTTTTTATTGGAGGGCCCCTTGAAAAACAACTTCCGTTGAAGGGCAACCCTCCTTAAACAAATCAAATATGAAATATGAAATATATAAAATATAAAACTACAGTTGAGAGATTTGGTATTGAAAAAACAGATTGCAGTAACTACCTGTAGACACAAAAAGCTGATGTAAGAGCATTCAATATTGAAAAAGAGAAAATAACCGTAACAATGACTTTTAATCTTTATTGAGTTCTTTATTCTTGAATATACGTTTAAACCTAAACAATTTTTCCAATTCTTTTAAAAAGCTAACGTGATGATTGGACAATTTTATAAATAAGAACATTGTATACTATAGTTATCAAATTTGATGGGTGTGGTCACTAAAATTTTCAAAAAGCCACACCCATTTTTTTCATATTTGCATTGATAAAAATTCCTTTAAATAAACCCTGCACAAAATATGCTGAAATGTTTTGAATTAAATGAAAGTTTGAGTTATCGTAGTTATCATCATTTGTCCCTACCGTACTAAAGAACATATTTTCATTTTGATTTTGTCAAAATAGGAGATGAAAAATTGTGTCTTGTGTGATGTCAGCTGACTGGAAGTAATAAGGGATTACTTAATGTTGAAAACAAGCTGAAATTTGAGCAACAAAGGGATTCGGCCGCATGAGTAGAACTTATGCCAGAAATATGATCTTATCCACCGCTAATCTGTCTTTACAAAAATTTCCTGGACAGCATGGATGGCCTTTTAGGTTTTAGGCCATCGTGTCAATACTAGTTCCTGACAACAATAGCCCATTAACTTTGAGACAGGTTTCTCTCATTTCTCTGCAACACGCGCATGGGTATACTGTATTTCCTCAAATGAACACTGCCCTCTGATAAACGCGGCCCTCTATTGAACGCCGCACCTTCAGCGAACCATTTTAAAAATAAACACCCCCTGATAAACGCCGCCCTCATTTAAACGCCGCATCTTGAGAAGCAGCGTTCATTAGAAACCACATCAAAGAAGAAGTAACGCATAGTTTTGAAATTTGTTGTGTCAGTGACGAGACGGGGATATTAACACACTTTGACATTTCCACAACACTAACACATCTTTCGTGACATTTATTACGTGTTTTGGAGGAAGAAAAAATTGCCTCAAGTCTGTTTCTATCGTGTTACGTCAAAGCTCTAAATAAGAAGTTCTAATGATTAAAGATGGAAAATAATAGAAAATAATAAAGATATAAATTTGCAGGAGAATTCTTGAGGTTTTCCCATTTATTAAGCGATGTAAATGCAATATCACAAAAATAGAGCTTTGAAGATATGAGTGTCTGCAAGTTTATTGCAGTAGAAAACTTTTTATTTGCACAAACATGAAATATTTTGTTAAGATAAATTCGGAGGTACTTACTTGTGCTTGGGTTTCTGAGAATATTAGATCAGATGTTCAGCATCTAGTCTTGGTCGGAAATCTTTGGTGCTCCAACTGGCTTAATGGCAGCGGAAAATATGTTCTTTATTCAGTCGGTAAAATATATCACAGTTGGTCAAATCGATCTTTTCCAAATTTCATCTCCTCACAAAAGACAAATTTTCTGCGTTAAACTGTTGCACTCCAATGCTTCAATGTCATTAGAATGTGTTACTTCCCACGTACTGCCAAGCCGATAATTATTATCCTGGTTCTCTAACACTAACTTTGTCATTGTTTTTCTGACCATTCAGAGCCTGTTATGAAAGATTTTGATTAAATTTTACAAAGGTTTCAAAACTTCGAGACTGTGCCATAAAAAAGGAAAAAACTTACTTTATAAAATGTAACTTTTCGAAATTCTGTTGCCAGTTGTTTGAGGTTTTGTTTGATTTGTTATCAACTATCAATTGATGCCTAACGTTGTCGTCTTTGAATTCGTAGAACAGGCGCAATACTTCTGTGTTTATGTAAGTGTTTATGTTTTTTGCTATGAACTGATTTTTGCAGTTAATGAACTGCCTTAAGGCTGAAATACACTATGCGTTTGAATGGATTCGATTGAATGGATTGCTGGAAAATGGACAGTGTAAACGCAAAGTTGGATTTCAAAATAGCTGTTTCTTTGGGACACAAGATCGCCTCTGTATCTCAAAAGAGATGCAAGACAAACAAAATAACGAGCCTTGCTGAAAACTTTACGTATCTTTCCTGGTATTGCCTCTTGCAGCCTTGTGCTATTTTTTTAATATCAAAATCAACGAGTTACAAGAGCTCATCGATATTTTCGCGAAACATTTTTCAAGAACATTTGATATTCGTCGACTTCTTCCAGACGGAATTCTTGCAAAGACGTGTTATCAATTCCTAGCTCATTTTTTCGGGTCAACCGGGGCTTAACCCAGACGAATCTTTGTTGCCTATTTAATTTTTTGCGCATACATTTTCATTATTTATAAACAATTGCAATCATGGCGGAAACAGCAGCACAGTTATCATCAGAGTCAATGATGAAATGAGGCGACGCTTTAAAAAACTGATTCAATTTAATGAACGAGTGTAAACGGAGACATTTTTTCATTTAAATGGGCCGTCCATTTAATTGAATCCATTTAAATGCACAGTGTATTTCAGCCTTTATCCAATCCATGAATTTGCTTCATGTTACTCCGAATATGTGTTTGCCCCATATTGTAACAACTAACATTAAAGAAATAATACAATACAATACAATGCAATGCAATGCAATGCAATGCAATGCAACGCAATGCAATGCAATGCAATGCAATACAATACAATACAATGCCATGCAACGACTTCCAGAATGACATCAACCCAACACTTTCATCCACTGACTGTAGTATTCACATCACTACAAACAAGCTATGGAATGTTCTTATTATAAATCAATCTTAGGCTTTCCTATTCTTATTGTTCTTAACTTTTACTTTTCATAAGGATTGCATTCTTATAAAAGCATTTTTTAAAGAAGAAACTGTATTGCCAAACAATAAGATTTAACATTAATTTCATTATACACTTGATTTGGTTGATATTACTGTACTTACCAAAGCTGATATTTTAGGCCCGGTAAATTCCTGTTTTCGTTGTAGTTCTGCAGTATTCATAACTCAGTAGTGAATAAACATTTCTATTGCAATTTTGTTTTATTCAGTGTTTGGAGACAATGCACCGAAAGGCTGATGTACTCTACCTACAATAACAGAGCTGTCAATGGTCAAGATTTTTGTGGCTTGGTACGTAGCATTTAGCGACCCTTAATAAGGTTCTAACAGTTCAATACGTGCAGTTTATCTCTCATGATTGCTAATGGCTTTTCTTGCTGTTTTTATATTTCACTTATCTTCATCCAAAGTATACAGTGGAAGGTGCCCAATTTAAAGACTCTTCTTTTTCTCTCATCTTTTCTGATTCACATGGTAGTTTTTATTCTTTATTATTTGTTAATTTGCCACGGGGTTGTCATGGTCTATTGCTCCCCGTGGCATCAACGCCCTTGTAGTGTTTGTTTAAATTTTGTGAATTTTTTTTGCTATATTGTTTCAGTTTGCCTTTGATTTTCCCCTGATAATGTGTAGCCGTTTCAGCCAGATTTAAAATTAAGCTAAATTTACCCCCAGACCTTGGCAATCTCGATGAGTACTCATCAGCGGGAAGCTACCCTGGGTACTCCCGTACCTTGGGTACCAGGGCCTCGTGAATCAAGGGATAAAGTATCGTAGACAGCAGCGGTAGCAAAGAATGAGTGGATACAAAAGAAGGAGAAGGAAAGTGCTCAAAACATTCCATACTTGCTCAAAAATATTTTCTGTGACTAGTTTTCAATTATATTTCTGAGACTAAATAATAAAGACTCTGGTACCGAGGATACAGGGAAACCAAAACGTTCTTTGGAGGGGTAGAGAAATGATTTTGGCCAACAAAAAGGACGTGTTTCACTCTCTAAAGGTGTAGTCATAAGATGAATAATTTTATATGCTATTTTCACGCATATCTATTTTAATATGCAGCATTCGAAAAATTCAATTTCAAATATTTTTTGAGGCATACTTTGAGCTGCTACAGAAATGTTAAAACGTTAAAATTCTTACAAAAAGGTTACAATAACAAGGTGATGAAAAAGTGTTTTATTTTGCTTGACAAAAATTATTTATGTGCTGACGGAAAAAGTATTGGGGGTACAATAAAACGCCCCCATACCTTTTCCTCCAGCGCGCACCTGCTACAGTGGTGCCTTGGAAGGGGGCTCAGCCCCCTTCGTCATGAATGAGCAATAATTTCTATACGCAACAGAAAGTCTAAAACAAAAATGCAAGTATATTGAGTATGATAAGGGTGTGGTTGTGGGTATGGCCTCTTGAGTTACTCACAGCACAGCCCCTTCTTTCTAACTTTTTAGGAAGGCACCTCTGACCTGCTACTACTCGTTTTTTTAGAAACGGACCACTTTGCAAGTAACCTACATGTAGAAGGTAGAAAATTAAATAGCCGTTAGTACCAAAGACAAAACCCCCAAGGAACTTTTCAATTTTGAATATTTCAAACATTTCAAACAATCAAGAATTAGGGAGCCGGTTCCATTCACAAGGAATTAAAAATCACATAAATTTTGTGCCAAGAAGGTAGCCATTGTTGTTTTATAGTGTATTGATCGATTTCCACCTTTTCATAAATCGAGCGTCTTTCTAGTCTTCTTTCTGTTTTCACCTTATTTCCTAACTACAGTATTATGTGCAGTTTTCATGGCACCAAATGTGCTTTCAAATTAAGGAACTATCAAGGAACTTTAAGCACTTCAATTCTATCAAAAGAAGTCAAAAGATAATTGTCAAGTATGGGAATTGGCAAGTTCAAAGTTCAAAGCTAAACTGTAATAGTTATGCTTGCTTATAAAAGTAAGGAAGTTTAGGTAACTGGAGGCGAATAGCAGGTGTTATAGAAAAGACAATAACTATCTTGCGCTCCCCCTGAACTCTCAGATGTTTTGAATTAAGTTTACCTTCCTTCCAGGAAAAAGCCACACCTTGACCTCCAAGTTTAAACATAAAACCAATTTCAGGATTTGCACAATTACCAGTCTTCAACTTGCACACAAAATAGTGACATAAATGAACTATGGAACAAGAAGCGCCCCAAGCCAACAATACCAAAGGTTTTTATATCGACTTTGCAGCTGGTTGTTTCGGAGGTAGGTATGCATGTATTGATCTGTTAGCCACAGTTACACCAGCATTCGAAGATAAATAGTTCGGTAGCTTCTCTATGTTTATCATTAAGTTTCACACACAAGATGCACTTTATAATAAGGAAATTTACCATTGCTAATTCGCTCAGGACAAAAGAAGTTAATTTCCTTGATACTTCATCACTGTTGTTTCTCTTAATCTTTCATTCGCTGTATTCTACTTTAGCCTTTCGTTTAAACCAGGTTTGCAGATACCAGGGTAGGTAATCAAATAATTCAAAGGGATGAAATTTACTAAATATTGATACATGTATAGTATTTATGAAGATGTTTTGGTTCTGGAATATATATTTCCCTGGCTGATTCAGAACGAAACGCTCATCAAACGATCATCCATTGTCTTACTTTTGTAGCTTTTTCACAAAGAGTAGTGCATTTTGAAACCTTGCTTTTGGTTGAGCTATATTTATGAGAGAGTTGACACAGAAGAACTAAATTTAATCTAAAATAATTATCTTATCATTCTTTTACATTTTCATCGCCTCTTGTTTTCAAAGGCAAGTCAGCTTGTAGTAAGTTCCATAGAAATAGTTCGGTAGCATTTGAAAATCACTTCAATTGTAGACATTCTTAATATAACACGTTTTATCGAAACCAATGGATAATAAATGGTTATATTCAAAGATATATTTAAAGCTGCTTGCACTAATGCGACATATTTTGTACCTGCATGCACCTGTACGGACAAGGAGCTTTCAGGTCGAGCTGTAATGGCCGCCTTGAAATTAAGTCGAATCACCTTCCATGTTATTCTGTGGCAGTCAAAGCAATGCTTGCTGGAAATTTTTGTTGGAAAATCAAGCTATCATTCTATAAATGTGAACAGCGTAATCTGAAAGCCAAGTTTGAGTTGCAGCTATTGCGACTGTTAAGAACTGCAATCCGGTGGAAAACCCCTTTGAGAAAGTTAACATGATTCTGCTTGAGATCCAAATCAATAAGCTCTTTAATTGTTTACTGATGCTGTTAGGCGTGACCATCAAACGTTTTACGAATAATGTTGACTTGCGATAGCAATTATTTAGTGTTCATCGGAACATCGATCTAGATCGATTTCACTTTTCAACAAGTCAACACAATTGTCTGCTAGGGAGGAAGGGGGATGTTGCTTGGCCTAGGCAATGAATTCCTCTTTGGCCAAACGGGTGGGATGCTGAATTTTTCTCAAATATCTCTTTCCATTCATTATTCCTACAAAAACACAGTAAATGTTTGGTTAGATAACATATCACTAAATATGACTTCACTAGGTATAAAATACAAATTTTATAATTTAAAAGATATACCTAATTTGTTTGCATCTTAGTAGACAGGGAATTTTTCATAACATTCTAGCAAACTGGGTAACCGAAACTTTTAAATTTTAAAGCATAAGAGTAAAGGCCACTGATCATTTTAAGCCCTGGGAACATTCTGGCAAATGACCAAAAGTTGCGTTTCCGGAAGCATGAAAAATGCACGGTCAGCAAAATTTCAACTTTCGAATTTTTCAAATCTAATGATACTATCGGAAAGAACATGCAAAACTGAGCAAAAATTTCAAAAAGAGCAATGTGATCTGACCTATAAGCAAAAAGTTATGGCTGTGGAAACTTTTCGTTTTGTCAAACAACTTGCTTTCTCGAGTTTCCTGATAGTGCAGACGCATAGCAGTAGAATTGTGCATGTTATGATAATAGCATGACGTTTGGTGCAAGTACACAATCCGATATGCTGAATAAAATGAAGTTCATATAAAGCTTCAAAAAAGCCCCCTAAAGCTATTTTTGGACTGGGGTACTGGTACCAAGTCCTCTTTCTGGTATAGCACTACAATATTCTTGACATTGCAAGTTATAAAGCTGAAACTTTTTTCTGGCGTTATTTGACGTGCTGGATAAAATGGGATGCAAAAAAGCTTTAAAAATTTTACAAAATCAATTTTTAAACTATGGTTCTTGTACCCAGTCCTATATTGGGTCTTGCACTGTAACTTTGTAACTATTCAAGTTGTTTAACTGAAACTTGGTTTCCTGACCTATTCTATTCTGCAGAGCTATTCTGCAGCAGACAAAGTGTGTCAATAACACCAGCAAAGGCTAGATATCGGCCCATATTATGTTATCATAAGTTTTAAGACAATAAACGAAGCTGGCTACTTTGTCCAAAACTGTCTCTTGAGGTTTTTGCAATGCATTTAATTTTAGACATTCAAACACACATTCTCACCAAAATTCTACTGAAGCAAGTCGTGTTTATTTTAGCTTTATAGTTGGTGTATAATGGGTGTAGACTATCAAAAAATAGCTTTTTTTTAAAAAAAAACTGTTTATACAGACCTGATATGTAGTAGGCAGAGACATCAAGAAATAGTTTTTGATAATTTTTGCAACTTGATATGTGGTATTTTTGGGACACTTGAAATTAAAAAACCATTGAGGAACAGTTGGTCCTTCGATACAATGTGATCAAAAGAAATACAAAATTAAGATAAATAAAGAACTGGTCTTCTCTACAAAAATTTAATTGATTAGTGGAAAAATATTGTGCTGCAAAAAGACCCACAATTGTTTTCCTTTTTCCTTAAAATATATGAACGTGCAGACCACTATGTGCAGACTAAAGAAGATTATTTTTAGCCTTAAGCGATGATTTTGTTCTATTCATTGTGAGAAAAGAGAGGTTACAGCTTTGTCTTGCACAAGAATATCATTTTTCATATCTTGACCAAGTTGGCAACTCTGCCTCCAATTTTCTTTCCATATATTCCCTTTACTGTAATTACAAACGTAAAAGTATTTGTATGTTACGTTTTTTGAAATTTATTTTCGATACGTAAGCTTTTTAGCAAACTTATGATACTTTGAATGTTGTCAGGCCTTTGGTACCGTGAGCAATTGTAAAATAATGAAGGATATTACTCGTGAATAGTGGGACATTTTGTAACAACCTCCTTTCTCAACGTTCGCCTACTGCTTGATGATTCATCTCGTGATTTATCCAGTTTTGCTTCATACTTCCCTTGGTCTGTGGTTGACAAGATTATTGGATATAAGGGGCTGGTGGCTATGTGGCGATCGCCACCGGGGCTCCTCAGAAGTTGCAGGCGTCACATTTCCCATTGTTTTAGAACAACAGACCATTGTCCTGTAAATTATTGGGGGCGGTCGCCCCCCCTCGCCCCCCAAGTGTCCGCCACTGATTTTAAAAGTATGTGATTTAGGCTTTCTAAGTGACCACGCCTATTTAGACCTAGTCATGCTCTACGGGCCCTTTCAAAGCCAGGTCACAGATTGGAAATTTGACAGAGGAAGTTAAAGAATTAGGTCACGGAATAAGATTATCGCAGAACTGTTATTTATTTCTTTTCTCTGATCTCTCCCCAGGTGTCTGTGGAACAATCGTTGGCCAACCGTTTGACACAGTCAAGGTACGTGTATAGTTTAAGAATTGCTGAACATTATCAATCGTTTTTGGTTTAGAGTTGCGGTAATTAATTCCAGGGTTTTAAAGTTGAACAATACGTCGAAGAAGGTCTGATATATAATATTTTAGCATGCTATGTTTCCACTTTGCTGAATGATCTTCAAATTTCGTAGTGCCAAAAACCTTAAAAAGATTAAGGTAATATAAAAGGCACAATGAACTAGATGTTAAGTTAAAGAATCAATAACACTTGACTAGAGTTGGTAAAAAGGGTGCTTCAGCAACATTGCCATAACATTATATCATATAGAAACATGTATCAATGATGCTTGTGCATAAAACTGCAAAATGGAAACAAATCAGGAGCATTAGATAATGGAAGGTTTGTTAATGTTCTTTTCAAAAGATACAGAATCCAACGCAAAAACAAAATTTTGAAAAGCCAACGATCTCTTCAGAAACTATATCACCTATGAGCGTGGAAAACACTGCTTGGGTAAAAGAAGCTCAGTCACGTGATGCAAGACGAAATAATAATTTGACTTTTGAATAACGACACTTTTGGTTGGCGGGAAAGATGTCACAAGCAAAGAGGCGTATTACACAAATTTATACAAAGAGGCGTAATAAAGTAGAAAAAATTGATTGTTTGTGAAAGTATAAATTTGTAATTAAAGTGTTTTACTATAAATATCAGTAGTGGAAGGCTAGATCCATACTTGTAAATGTTAAATAAGTGTGAACAACTTTCATAACATAAGAGTAAAGCCCATAGTGAGTGAAGTATTTCAAGTACCATCGTTGTTAAATAAAGAAAGTTTAACCCAAGTATTTCGGTTAAAGAAGCATTGTAAAGTATGTTCAACAGAAGCAATGGCGAGTTTCTTTACAACAAAAAAAGCTTCAGTAAGAAGTTGGACTGATCAGTTAAGATTATCTTTGATAAAATCTCAGTTCCTTTACTCAAGGTGAGACTCCAAACCCAAGGACAAGAAAAAATCTACAAAAATGGCATTGATTGTGCATTCAAGATTATCAAAACAGAAGGAGTAAGTAAATTTTCTATAATTTTTCTTCTTTTTCTTCTTTCAACCATGGACTTTGATATAATTGTATGAAAAACAATAATTCTTTTGAAGCAGAAGCTCTGGTATGTTTGTTATAAGCTGTTAGCTGTTTGAAATATTTTAGTCAATTTTTACGCTGGATTGTGAGCAACTAGAGAAAGAATTTTAATGAATGAGTCAATCCTCTTTCCCTCCTCTTTCCTGGAGTCAGAGAGCATGCGGATGGAGTGACATCTTTATTACACGCATGCTCATTGACTTCAGGATGGGAGGTTGCCTAACTCATCTGAAGATCATCGTCAGCTCTCCCGTGTCTCCCTATAACTTTAATTACCGTTGAGACGAAAGAAATTTAGGGTAATCGTGCAACGAGATTCTGAGTACTTGTAACTTGTTAGCATCTTTTGAAAATCTTTTGAGTTTTTACCATCAATTCCCGGATTACATCGTTGTAACATCTCTTTCTAAAACCATCCAATAGTGAGAACGTATTTTTACTTAATTTGTGTAGGTAGCTGGCCTGTTCAAAGGTCTCACCCCACCTATTGCTGGCCAATCAGCTATAAACGCCATCATATTTGGAGTCCAAGGAACAGTGATGCGTTTTTTGGAACCTGGCTTAAGAAGTGAAATAATTGCAGGCTGTATGGCTGGTGCTGCACAAACGATTGTCATTTGTCCTGTTGAGTTGATCAAAACAAAGTTGCAAGTTCAAGGGAAGGGAGAGAGGCTGTCAAAAAGTCAAAGAAAATTTCTTGGACCACTTGATTGCATTGCCAAGATCTACCGTCAAGAAGGTTTGTTTGCTTTGTATCGCGGTATGAAAATAACTCTTATCAGAGATATCCCCGCATTTGGCTTGTACTTTGGATTGTACCATTCAATGCTAACATTTTGCACGCCAGAAGGAAAGACCTTTAACGATTTAGGCCCTTGGACAGTCATGGTTGCTGGTGGGATCACCGGTATGGCATCATGGGTATACTCATACCCAACGGATGTAATCAAGTCGAAAATTCAAGCAGAAGGCCTCAAACCTTTGGGAAAGTATGATGGCTATTTGGATTGCATCAGAACAAGCATCAACAGTGAAGGATACAGAGTTTTTGTTAGAGGAATGTCAGTTTGTGTAATCAGGGCATTTCCAGTCAATGCTGCTACATTTGCAGTGGTGGAGGGTTCGCTGAGGCTAGTACATGCTCGAAGAGAGAAATGATTCAAAGCAGTTTCAACAACAAAAACATTTATAAGAAATGACTCTTGTTCATCGTAAGTTTTATATTATTGTGATTTTTTCTTTATTGTAATTAACAATTCAAAATTCAAAAATCACTGGTGCATATTATCATAATCAAAGATATACCAAAAATCATTTTTTAGCTGTTATTAAACAGATACTCAACATCAGAAAATAAGAGTAAAAAAATATGAAATACAATGATAAAAGCATAAAGTCATGAATGTTAAGGCCATCAAAAATTGCGAATTAATTTAGCGGGTTTTTAGTTGTTCAAATCTAGGACAAAAAAAGACAATGGCTTGAAAACTGAAAGTCTTAATGTAAAATTTTATTGGCTTAATGTCCGAATCACTTTCCTCACTTCCTGAAGCTGATATTAAAGAGGGGCAAAAAGTAGGGTTATAAGATTTGAAAAGCTGTTCAAGTTTTGCTACCAAAACTATTCTGGTATAAAGCGTGATAAACAAACAAACAAACTAACAAACAAAGCAAAAAGAACAAGCGAAAGGACACATTTTATTGTCTTTTGACACTAATAAAAGTGGAAAATACCAACATCTTTTACATTAGACTTCGAGGGAAAAAAGGTTAGAAAAATTTAACAACAACAATTTCCTTAAAAACATTTCCTTACAAGCAAGTGCACCAATTCGCTCAAAAACAGCAGTGAAAGGAATTCTGAAATTAATTCACCGTGACTGTGAATTGTGCAAAAATCTTGCGCTACCTATGATGCAAAAAACAGCAATAGACACAAACATTGGCAGTTTTATAGCCCGTTTACACGGAAAAGTGATGAAAGTTGTTCAAATTCAGTGGAAGGTTAAGGACTTGATAAGAATTTTCAACACGGAAATTTTCTTAGCGAAATGCCTCATTAGTCTTAAAAAACTGGAAACGATTGCTGCTTTTATTGTCTTGTTATGCAAATAAAACCGGATTATGCCAAATTTTTGAGCATTTAAATTTTGTGGAGGAGTAAGGATAAAGGCTCTTAAAAATTAATGTTCTATACCAAAGGTTTCTTGCTGAAATGCCTAATTACGCTTAATACAAGACTGGAATGAACAAATAGTAGTTTTATTATACTTTACACTGAGAAAATGAATGATTACGATATTTTTGAGCATGCAGATTTTGTGTAAAAATCTTTAGGCTATAGACTTTGAGAAATAAGAGGTTTCTATTCAAACAATCTTTGGAAAAATAGTTGAATATGCCTAAAACAATAGAAAATGAAGCAAGGATAGTAATTTTTAATGTCTTTTTGCACTGAGAAAATAGAAAAACATGATGCCAATATTTTTGTGTATTCATAATGTGAGGAAAAGATAGGGTTATAGGCTACGAAGATGTTTTGTTCTCCAAGTCATCATTTTCCGATGAAACACTTTTTTACGCTTAAAACAAGACTTGAAAAACAAATGACAACTTTTATTGTCCGTTTACGGCAAGAAAAATGACTAAAGCCAATACATTTGAACATTCAATTTTTAGGAAAAAGTAAGGCTATAGGCATTGAAAAGTAAGGCTTTTTATACATACATTGTCTCGGTGAAGTGCTTTTATACGCGTAACCCTTTGATGCATGATGTTGTTGTGGAACAACAAATTCATTTAATGTCATTCCAAAGGATTTTCAGAAAAAAAATATTTTTTTGCAAAGAGGGTCCCACAACAACAACTTTCAGCCAATAAATATTTTCTTCGAGTCTGTAACAAAAATTAATTAAAACAAGACTGGAAACAGGCAAGTGGCTGTTTATATTGCCTTTTTACACCTAGAAAAATGGATAATACTAACATTTTTGAGAAATGAAAATTGAGAGAGAAGTAAGGCTAAAGGTCTTGAAAATAAGTGTATCCCGTACCAAAATTCCCTCGTCTTCATGATTAATTCACTTCAATGTGATAAGAATGAATAGGAATTGAAGTTAGTTCGGAAAAGAACTTGAAACGTCTTGTTAAAAGAAATTTATCCTTTTCGGAAAAAACGAATTTTTTGATGGGTAGTCATTTGATCAAAAATAAAGCCATAGATTTCAAAATATCCTCCAATATTCTCAAATTCTTTCCTTCAAGAAAGAGGTTTATTCGCCTCTTTTTGAGAAAAATTTAGAAGAAATTGAAGATAGTTTTCAATAATAGTCGACTTTTGATTAAAAAAGTAAGCTGGCAGGCATATTAACTATCGTCAAATTATCCGAAACCATATCCCTTTTTAGTTTTGGAATCAAGTGTTGAGTTGGAATTAATTAGAAATATTTCAAAGAACAAAGTAAAAATATTAGCTTAAAAAAACTTTTCGTCTAAAAAGAGATTAATTTGCTTCTTTTCAACCAAAATATACAATTATCTAAGTGAGTAAATAAAAGCTTTCATTACAGGAAAGTTTAAGACTGGTCAATACCTCATTAAAAAGTAAGTCTATACGCTTAGAATAAGCTAGAATTTTTCATAAGTTCCTTTTAAAAACAGGAGAAAAGGCTAGTTTCAGATCAAAAGAAAAAGAATTAAAGCTAATCTAGAAACTTTCCTCTTTTATCTTTTATCTTAAACAAGCTAATTTCCTTTACATGATTAAAATAAACAAGAATTAAAGCTGGTTTTCAATGAAAGTCATAATTTTCGAAAAGTAAAAGACTTTTTAAACGATTTGATTTATGATAAAAAAGTAAGGCTATAGGCTGATAAAAATCTGCAAGTTTTTTTCTTAAGTTTTTCCTTCAAGAATTGAAGTTAGTTTGTGAATGAAAGTCATAATTTTCGAAAAGTAAAAGACTTTTTAGACGACTTGATCTATGATAAAAAAGTAAGGCTATAGGCTGATAAAAATCTGCAATTCTTTTTCTAAAGTTTTCCTTCAAGAATTTAAGTTAGTTTTTGAATGAAAGTCATAATTTTCGAAAAGTAAAAGACTTCTTAGACGACTTGATCTATGATAAAAAAGTAAGGCTATAGGCTGATAAAAATCTGCAATTTTTTTTTCGAAAGTTTTTCCTTTAAGAATTTAAGTTAGTTTTTGAATGAAAGTCATAATTTTCGAAAAGTAAAAGACTTTTTAGACGACTTGATCTATGATAAAAAAGTAAGGCTATAGGCTGATAAAAATCTGCAATTCTTTTTCTTAAGTTTTTCCTTCAAGAATTGAAGTTAGTTTTTGAATGAAAGTCATAATTTTCGAAAAGTAAAAGACTTTTTAGACGACTTGATCTATGAAAGAAAAGTAAGGCTATAGGCTGATAAAAATCTGCAATTTTTTTTTCGAAAGTTTTTCCTTTAAGAATTTAAGTTAGTTTTTGAATGAAAGTCATAATTTTCGAAAAGTAAAAGACTTTTTAGACGACTTGATCTATGATAAAAAAGTAAGGCTATAGGCTGATAAAAATCTGCAATTTTTTTCGAAAGTTTTTCCTTTAAAAATTGAAGTTAGTTTTTGAATGAAAGTAATAATTTTCGAAAAGTAAAAGACTTTTTAGACGACTTGATCTATGATAAAAAAGTAAGGCTATAGGCTGATAAAAATCTTCAAGCTTTTTTCTTAAGTTTTTCCTTCAAGAATTTAAGTTAGTTTGTGAATGAAAGTCATAATTTTCGAAAAGTAAAGACTTTTTAGACGACTTGATTTATGATAAAAAAGTAAGGCTATAGGCTGATAAAAATCTGCAAGTTTTTTTCTTAAGTTTTTCCTTCAAGAATTTAAGTTAGTTTGTGAATGAAAGTCATAATTTTCGAAAAGTAAAGACTTTTTAGACGACTTGATTTATGATAAAAAAGTAAGGCTATAGGCTGATAAAAATCTGCAAGTTTTTTTCTTAAGTTTTTCCTTCAAGAATTTAAGTTAGTTTGTGAATGAAAGTCATAATTTTCGAAAAGTAAAGACTTTTTAGACGACTTGATTTATGATAAAAAAGTAAGGCTATAGGCTGATAAAAATCTGCCAGTTTTTTTCGAAAGTTTTTTCTTTAAGAATTGAAGTTAGTTTTTGAATGAAAGTCATAATTTTCGAAAAGGAAAAGACTTTTTAGACGACTTGATCTATGATAAATAAGTAAGGCTATAGGCTGATAAAAATCTGCAATTTCTTTTTCGAAAGTTTTTTCTTTAAGAATTGAAGTTAGTTTTTGAATGAAAGTCATAATTTTCGAAAAGTAAAAGACTTTTTAGACGACTTGATCTATGATAAAAAAGTAAGGCTATAGGCTGATAAAAATCTGCAAATTTTTTTCTTAAATTTTTCCTTCAAGAGCAAGTTTTTTCTAAAGTTTTTCCTTCAAGAATTTAAGTTAGTTTTTGAATGAAAGTCATAATTTTCGAAAAGTAAAGACTTTTTAGACGATATGATCTATGATAAAAAAAGTAAGGCTATAGGCTTATAAAAATCTGCAATTTTTTTTCGAAAGTTTTTTCTTTAAGAATTGAAGTTAGTTTTTGAATGAAAGTCATAATTTTCGAAAAGTAAAAGACTTTTTAGACGACTTGATCTATGATAAAAAAGTAAGGCTATAGGCTGATAAAAATCTGCAAGTTTTTTTGCGAAAATTTTTTCTTCAGGAAAGAGGCTTTTTTTCTTTTACATGATCAAGATAATAAAGAATCCAAGTTTCTTTTGAATCAAAGGCGTATTTATCGAAAAAACAGCAACTTTCTAGACGGGTCGATTTAAATTAAGAAAGTAAGGCTATAGGCTGATGAAAACCCGAAACTTTTTTCAAATTTTTTTCCCTCTATAAAGGGCTAATTCGCTTTTGCATGACCGAAAATTTTTCCCCTATAAAAAAGCCTACTTTGCTTTTGCCTGATCATAAAAAACCAGAATTTAAGTTGAATCTTGAATAAAAGTCGTATTTATGGAAAAATAACGACTTTTTAGATGGGTCTATTTACAATAAAAAATAAAGCTTTTAAGCTTAAAAAAATATTCAATTGTTTTCGAAAATTTTTTCCTCAGACATTTATAGATAATTATTTGCTTTCTTTCAATTAAAATATATAACAATTGAAATTAGAGTTTGAAAGAAAGTAGTGTTTTTCGAAAAACAACGTTTTTTAGATGGGTCGATTTTAGAGAAAAAAGTGAGTGCATATGTTTAGAAATAACCCTCAAATTTTTCTTAATTTTGTTTATTCTAAAAGCAAGTTAAATCGCTTTTCTGATTTCAAAATAAACAAGAATTGAAGTTAGTTTTCTAACGAAAGTCGAATCTTTTGAAAGAAAGCACTTTTTTAGACGGGTCGAATTTTTTTATGAATGAAGTGAAGCCAAAAGCAAAAAAATTCCTTAAAAGGAAAAAGAGGTTAATATATTTCTATATGGTCAAAGCTTAAGTTATAAAAGATAAATTAAGTTAGAGTTGGAATGAAATTAGATTTATTTTAAAAGATGACGACTTTTTAGTCTGGTCAGTTTTAAAGAAAACACATAGGCAATAGGCTTAGGAAAATCCTCAAATTTTTTTTCAAAAAATTTTTCTTTAAAAACAGGCTTATTTGTTTTATATGATTAGAATGAGCAAGAATTGAATTTACGTGAGTGGAATTTCTTAAATCCTTGAATTACCCCTCTAGGTGTTTATTTATTTTTTACATTTTTGGATGGGGGGTTATTCGAGGGGAGCTTAGACGAAGGGGGGGGGGCTTATAAAATCATAATTGACATTAAGAAGAGATTATTAAAAGACCTCGTATATTTTAGTAGGAATTTTTTTATGAACATTTGATTAATTATTTCCAAAAGTATGAAAACGCCAAAGGCAACCTCAGAGGGCAAAAATCAACCAATCGAGAGGGGGGCTAATTCGAGGATTTATGGTAGCAGTGGGGGCTTATTTGAGGAGGTTATTGACAATTTGTAGTTCTAGTGCAAGGGTTTATTCGAGGAGGGGGGGGGGTAATTCAAATATTTACAGTAAAAGTATTTTTTTTCGAAAAAAATAACGACTTTCTAGACCGGTCGGGACTCAGTCAAAGGGCATTGAAAAATACACAATCTTTTTCGAGATTTTTTCCTCTAGAAAAAGGCTAATTCGCTTTTGCATGATAAAAATGAACAAGACTTGAAGTTAAATCTTGAATGAAACCTAAACAATAAGCTGAATTTTTTTGCAATTCCCTTATACATCAAGCTTTTCTTTGCCAATTTCCCTGAAATCTTACTCAAGCTTTACAATACCGCGTTAACATCAATAATTCGGTCCATACAGAATGAATAGAGCTTTGTTGTTCAGATTAGATTGGTAAAAAATGCGAAAGTTTTTTTGCGAAAGATTCTTCCCTTAGTGAAGTGGTTTAGACTTTTTGAATTGCTTTTCGCGTTAATCGATTTTGAATTTGAAAATCTTTGGATAAATGGTAATTAATACATCACAGCCTCATAGCGCTAAAAGGCAGTAAAAACCACAGGTAGTTTTAAAGGAGATTTTTAGTTCAAATCTGCATGCTTGTCGAAAAAATATTGCTTTAATTTTTGGCCAAAATGTAAGATTTTGAAAAGTCACTGTTTCTACTAATATCAAAATGCTTAATATGAAAATTTCCGACATAAGCTCTGACTTTCAAAATTTTCCGACAATAGTCGATAATAAAATGGTAACCAAAAATATTAACTTTCTTTTAATAACATCAAGTTTCTAGAGTTCCAAAAGTTTCTTTGTTTGGCATACGCTACTCAAATACAGCTTGGAAGGAGCGCTGATAGCAACGTGAGTTAAGTTTTAAAAATTTTCCCACAAAGCAGGTTCATATACAATTGTAGAAATCTTCAATCAAAATATTTTCTCAGTATATCTTCCTTTAGATCGTTACTATCAAACTATGATGTCGTTTTCCCAGCGCCAATAAAATCAGACAGTAGAATCACAAAAGCACAAACAAATTTCGGTGATAAACAAAGACAAATCATTTGGAAATCTATTTAATCTTCATTTGAGCATACTCTAATTAAATTTGTATTCTCCTCGTGCTTATACCTCCAATTGTCATCTATTTGAGCAACAAATTGATAAGTCACTAAGAATACTGAAATGCGAGTTTTCGTGGAGTCATAAAATCTTTCAGAATTTCATCAGTAATATTCTTACGTCGTTCCTGATGTTGAGCTACGATTGGATGCAAAACCGATATCAATTCTTTCTTCAGCTCTCCAGTTAGCATTTTGCCACTTGAATAATCCTAGAAAGGGATAATGATATGATCTTGAACGTTTCTTTTGCTTAAAGAAATTCAAAACAAACATAGTTTCCATGGTCTATATAGACTGACTGGTTTGGCAAAGATCGAAAATCAGGAAACCAAACTGCAGCAGCTGATAAATTTGCTCATTTGACAATGAATGCCTGTTTTGTTTCTTTTGTGTACTAAAGATGACATTATTCACGACATTAACTTATGGCATTATACTGCTTTCAATGACCCTCTACGCCGTCATCAGCAGAGTGACCACCGCATTTCTTGTGACCACCGTCATCAGCAGAGTGACCACCGCAGAGTGACTGTGGGTCTTAAAGGATACTACTACTAAGCTTCATGTTAAATGCTGCACGTTAAATGCAACAAACCTCTTTGATTTGCTGTAATCTGTCGTCGTCTTCTAAGAAAAACGTCAAATATTGATATGCAATATCAACAGTAACGTCACCACCAAGACTACGATGCTCCTCTATGGTGTCTTTTCCGCCAGAAAAGGCGTGCTTATTCACCTGCACGGCAGATGGCAAATATCGCATATCAGAAACAAGTGAGACATGTTTTTAAACATAACATTGAATATTAATAGCTGTTCATATAATGACAAATTGCCTTTTACATTTACATAGAATTTAGGACAGGATCTGAACAAAACAAAACAAAGCAAATATAAAAACTGGTCTACCAGGAGGTCATGTTCCGAATCTTATACTTATATTCACACTAATTCTTTCAATTATACTCTGTTTATAAACTTTCATGCCTCATAGATATAGGGTAGAGATTCTTTGGATGCTAAAAGTATCTATTTTATCTCCACCTTTGCATAGACTGAGGACATATACAGGGGCGGAATTAAGCAACAATGATGGGGGCGGGGGTGTTAGACACTAAGTTTGATGTCACACCCTTCAGGTCACTAGTAAACTATGGTAACGTTTATATCCTGAATTGTGTAGGGTGAGGAAGCACTACGTGTAAAAAGTGACTCTCCAAAGTTGTAATCAAATATTTAAAAATAGTAAACAGTATTCAAAAGTTTTATCCAGGTCCGTTCTCCTTTGAGCAAAATCCACGACAAGTATTTCAGAATCCAGTTTTTTTCAGGATTAGACTGCTTTAGCATTTTAGTTTCTATTTTAACGGGAAAGTCTCAAGAACGTGAAGGACTTTTCTATACAAACCCAAAAATGAAGGGGAACTGTTTAACATTATGTAGAGATATAGAGGAGGGTCTCCTCTATATTCATTCATACTCATTCTGTATAGAAAATTTTTGCGACGACGCCCTTGAGATTAGCTTTAAATACATTTCAGAATATTCATATTCCTTCCCCCCCCCCGCTACGCTACTGATAAAAAGATAATCACTGAAAAGAAAATAAATAAAGTACAATCTTGGCGTTACTTTCTTACTACTGACTACAAACAAGTGATTTTTCCGAATGAAACAAAATTTACCGAACGACACAGACATATTGGGGGGGGGGTTGTCGCACCCCCTACACCCCCCGGTATAACCGTCCCTTGACATATACCGCTTTAATTTGGGTTTCCTGACATGAGGTTCTGTGTGTTAAAGCTGTCTGGGGGTTAAGCCAAATTCCGAACGGGTGCCCAATCAAGCCCCCATGTCTGCAAAAAGTCGGTACCTAAAGGATTGAATATAAAGCAACCTGTATGGGTTTTGTAATATGTTAAAAATCCACGACGAATTTTTTGTTACGACCAAATTCTGAAAAGTTTTCCTAAATTTTTTTCGACGAAGTTTATCCGCCGAAAATTTATCTGACGAAATTTTTTGTTGTCAATGTATTTCTAAATTGATTCCACTTTATTGGCCCAAGAGCTAGGTTTTAATTTTTTTGGTTGAAAAGGTGAGTAGATTCCATATTTATTATGTCGCTTGGGATATAATTCCAGATCTTTCCATTGACGTACGAAAACTTTTTTTGAGATTTCCAATCGTGGTTTAGGTATTTGCAGATCGTTTATTCTACGAGTTTCATATTTTGAGATCTCATTTCTCCTCCTAAAACTTCCCTTAAGATCTTCTGGGCACATTTCCTTAAGAATCTTGCGTACCATTATGGCTCAGTCATATGTGATAACCTTCTCAACGTTTAGTCATGCGGATGGTATCTGATCCTTAATAGGAGCAATGAGGATAACGATGAGGTAAAATGTCCTATAATGTATCTTCTGCAATAAACAGAGCTTCTTTTCAGCCAAATAGCCCCACATCAGGTTTCCATATCTCAGGTAGCTTTCCATTATTGTGGTATATATTTTCTATCTTGTCCTTACTTTTCCTTTATAATTTTGTCAGTCTTCGATGTTACCATTTTCAAAGATTTTACCTAATTGTTTGTCATTAAAAAGAAACATGTATTCAAACTTTTTTAAAAAATCATTCGTATAGATAATGAATAGAAGAGGCCTCAAAAAAGATCCTTGTGGAATGCCACAGGTGATCTCCTATTATTCTGAGTTTTTTCCACCTGGTAGCATTATTGTTTACCACCAGTTAGATTTGATGCAAACCATCCTGTAGTCAACATTAAGTAGCAAGCTTTTAAGTGAAAGTGCTAGTGAAAGAATTAGTTTTTTCCTTCTATATAAAGTTTTTTGTATATTTCATATTTAGTATCTTACTTGATCTGGGTGCCCATATTCAAGGAATATCTAAAAATTAAATGTATCAATAAGTCATAAAAGGAAATGTTTTTCTAACCTTATTTTTTATTTGCTTTGGGGTATCTGTCAAAAATATTGATGAATTTGGATCACTGGCGCTCATTTTTGTCTTTGCACCTTGCAATGCTGGGAAGAAAGTTGAATGAATGAGAGCAGGCTTATGATAGCCTAGCCTTGGAGCAACATCTCTTGTCATTCTGAAGTATGGGTCCTGTTTGCAAAAATAAACAACAACATTAGAGAGTGCAACAAAGAAAAACTAAGGTTTATAGTCATGATAACTGAGACAAATATTTCATAAGCTGAAAGTCCTACTTCCCCTTGACTGAGCATAACACCGATGGACAGCTAAAAACAATTTTAAAAATAATCTGATCTTGGTTAGAGTTAAACACTTGCCTAACATAGCACCAAAAAATCAAGCTGGCTGTACAGATTTAGTAAGCAAAGACCTTTCTAGATGAGTTTGGCTTGGTAATGGCAAAGCAAATCATGCTGCCAACAAAAATGCATCCCTGAGGATAGGTCAGCCTTTAGCAAAGATGAAAAATGAAACACAGGTAATACAAAATCGTTACAGAAAGATTACTTCCAAAGGCAAGATTATTTTATGGTTGGGTAAAGTATGTGGATAACCTAAAATGTGCCAAAAGCATCAATATGATACCCATGGTTCGATATTAGACCAAATGTAAGCAACAGGTTACAAGAAATACTGGTCTTGCCCACATTACACCTCTACACTGCTGTCTCTACAAGCCAATTTTCTATATCATATTAAGCACCACAGGAAAAATTTTCATAATAGGGATTTGAAGTAGAGTCTATATGAAATGGAATGGCACATGGAATCAAACCTGGTCAATGGCACATGGAATCAAACATGGCAGACTCTTTGCAGGTCCAAAAATATGTGGAAACGAAGAACTGAAACTTGGGCTTGCTTGGATTGCAGAGAATGATATTTTACCTTAAAACAAAACATGTGCATCTAAGTTGTTATTGCAAAAAAAACTCAATTCATGACACAGGAAGAAGTATTGACAAAATCAGTAGATATATTCACCAGTTAAAAAATAATTAAAAAGCAAGAAAACAATAATTGCTGAGTTTGATATAAAAATGAAAGGTAAAATCTATAAATCTTAATTGTATTGGAAATATAATCTTGGAACGATGTATATTCATTTAAATAAAACTGAAAAGTAGCAATGCAATATTGCTCACCAATATTGTCACTTTCTCCAAAACCAAAAATTCCACGTGCTTGATTAAATGTTACACATTTCTGGACTTTCAGTATATTCTTGTAAAAATCTGAACATTGCCTGAGGAAAAGGAAAAAGTCATATTGTTGATACTAATGATCAAAATAGGCCTGGCAGTTGTGAAGAACCTCCTTACTTCAATTATGGAATTAATGCACAAAACAGGCAGAATGCTTGAAAATCATTCCTTAAATGTTATAAGAGCATAATATTTAGATAAACAATATAAGAACACAAAACTTGGATACAAAATAAATTAAATTGTAAATCAGATTCTGAGATTTGATGCCTTTCAACCTGCTTTATAAACTAACACACAAAACTTTATCTGGCAGTGTATGGATTTTCACATTGAGAGTATCATTTTAAACTCAATATTTCAACTCACCCAATATAGTCTATGTCTGAAAATATGAATGTTTTATTGACATCAAAACCACAAGCTATGATGTCTTTAACATTTTCATAAGCCAATCTATGAGCTTCATCAACAGAAATATCCTTGTAGAGAAATTTTTCATCATCAGTCAATTGTACGACTAAAGGGACATCGAATGCATCTTGCAGATATCTGAAAGATAGAATTCAAGAGGCAGGATATTTATTCTTGATCCAAGGTACATAACTAATGGAAATAATAAGGTTTTCATAACTTTGTGAAAAATTGTTGTCAAGTCATTGCAAATGAATAGATGGTAAATATATAACGTTCTTACTTTGTAAAGATGAATGGGATTAGATGGCCAAGATGCATTGCTTCAGAAGATGGTCCTCTGCCAGTATAAAGGTAGAACGGCTTTTGCTTTTCATGATGTTCCAAAATAATATTCAGATCTCTGTGAACATTGAGCAAATGATTGTGAAAACTAAGTATCTGAGAATGTAAAATTTCAAACTTGGCAACATCTTTGGTATATGCACTTTTGAAGATTACAAACAATTTTTACTATGCAGTCTTTAATAGATATTATTTTTTGGTGTGCAGAAAATCACATGTTCCAGGCATTTCAGGGATATGGTTATGAGCAGTTAAAAAAGTTGGAAAATCATCAATCAAAATTATCTAATTACAAAAAATAAGAAGCATTAAAAATACATCAATCCTTACACCAATAAGAAAATTTGTTAATACATTATGGCAGCACAGCCAATCAGTGGCCACTATATGAGCATTCTATGGTACTTGAGTACAGCCTTAAAAATTGAAAGTTTGATTTATTGACTAAATGTGAATGGCAGATCAAGCAACAAATTCCAGAGAAAGGAAGGTGTTCAAGAATGAGAATATTTCATCTAGTGGTAAGGGCAGCTATGCCTGATCTCATAATATTTTGTTGCAAATTAAATCATGTGCTCAAAAATAAGGATTTATTTGCAATCATTGTCAACAATTTCTTTGGATTCTGCTGAAAAACATTTAATGTCAATTTAATTTATCTTTTTCTGCTCCTGATCGTTTTTAACATTCATTGTCATTCTTTGTTTCATTCTACCTTTGTGAAAAGAAAATTCCTCTTCTGAGAAAATGATGGGCCTTTTTTCCAGTTATCTTCTCTATTCTTTCAATTTGGTCCTTTGAAACAGGAGCACTTCCAAATTGTTCTAGATGATAAAAAGAACAAAAGAGTCATGTAGAGCAAACAAGAAAGAAAACAAGAAGTTTCTTTAGGTAGAATGTTATATCAGAAATATTCTAAAAAATAATTCTCTTAATATTACTAGCTCGATGTATATATTTTTAGATTGGGTTGAATTTTTTTATGTGTATTTTTTGCAAAACATTTTAATAAACATAATATTCATTGAAATGTTTGGATATGGTAAATATAACAGGAGAGTACACAAACGTAACTATACATCAGATGTACATTTCTCATACTTTTAGGGTGAATGTACAGATTTCATTTTCTTTGTCAGTGTTCAGGTATGCTGATGCACCACTTAATCAAGGACAAAAAGAAGCTTTGCACCAATAGTGTGCAGTATTTTTTTTGGCCAAGGAGAAATTTTGTTGACTTGTCAGCGTTTTAGGTCACTTTTCATATAAGTATTTTATTTCATGCATTAGCAGATTGTATAAAGAGTAGAACTCACTAAGGAAAGGTAAAAAGTTTTAGCCTAATGCTATAAGAGAGTCCAGAAAAAAACACTTCAATACAAAAGCAAACCCAGAGAAAGACCTTGAGAGAGGGTGTCATTGACATGTTTTAATAATGGCTGGCAATTAAGCCAAAGCTATTAGTATGCTAGCCAAATCACTTGGCTTCATTCAGTTTACAGAGTAAGGCAGCTGCATACATAAGATAAAAGTAATGTTGGATGCAAAAATTTGAAATTCCAAACTATATTTACAACAGCTCTGTTATGGAAAAACAGTTTGTGTTTATAATTAAAAAAGGAGGTTGGCACATGGTGCAAATTATGCAAGATCTCACAGAGAACTGGCATGAATTGCAGACTATATGGGTCATAGAGAGAGTTTGAATCATTTTATCTAAAAAAGCAATGAGATGTAATCATGACATTTCATAGATAGGGCAGGTACACAAAGACACACTAAAGTGTCAATCACTCACTTATCAATTTGCTGTAATCGATTCCTTTATTGTCTTTGGCTACAACTTTCTCAATGGTAACTTCTTGATCTTCATTATTTGCCGTTTTCCCGTTTTCTTTATTTTCATCCCCGGTCATTGTTGTTGTAGTTAGCTCTCTTGTTGACGACAAACAAATCGCTTTCCTGAATTGGTGAGAACAACTTTTCAAGCTAAACACGCGTAATTTGCTCAGAGATATGAATCGCATATAAGATCCCAGACGTATAACTAATTGCAATGCAAATTTGGAAGTAAATCAAATTTTAAAAGTCAGCTGCTCTAAGCAATCTTTTCGCCAACTCGTGTTCTTTTAGGCCTATTGAGTTGAATTGCATCATCATTAATGCTTGAATACCTGATGTAAAAATGCTCCAAATATGCAGTTTGAATACCAATTTTTCACAATATTTTTACAGCACTAGACAAAAATGTGATTACATGTCTGTTATGTGAATCATAACTTTTCTACCATCCTGTTCAGATTTCTCAAGTGTGACGTCAAAAAAAATATTTTTAGAATTTTCGAAGTTTGAACCCATAATATAAAAGAAGACCATAAAATATTCACATATTTTCAAAATCAGTTAAATTTTTCAAAATTCGGGTGAGTTATGGCCAATAGGAAGTTTTAAGTTTGCTAACAGATTACTGTTATTTTGGCTCAGTTCATAAAGTTATGGGGCCAAATTTGTGCTCATCTGGTCTTATCGCAGCCAATTCGTAAAACCTTTAACTAATTTTGCAGACTTAGAGGTACTTCATGATGCTTTTTCAGGTTATGAGAACCAATTTCAAAAATTCTAAAATATAGATTTTTGTGACGTCATCACTTGAAAACTCTGTGATTCGTTCAGCGGTGTAAAGACTTACTTCCAGAATCAAACGAAAGAACAACAATAAATTTCTAGGAACAACAAGATATGTATCCACGAAATACTTTTACAAGTAAATCGTATTTTTTCAAACTAATCAGAGAACCTTTCACAGGCTTTCTCATTACACGAACTGAACTAATTGTGTTAGAATTTAAATACATAATTGTACAACATAATGGTATGGCTCAAGAGACAAATAAATGATACGCAAAGGTCTATTTAAAATCTGTGAAGTTAATAGGATTAAAAGATATAATGCCGAGAAAATAGAAATGTGTTGCTGAGTTAATTAGAAAACGTGAACGTAGAAAAACAAGCAAAATGAGCTTCAAAATATATATCCTGTCTAACTTTGTTGGTAGCAACCATTAAACCAAACTAAAATGCTGAGCAACACAAGTAAGGGGTGGCGGTGCGGTCGCTGCGAAGCATGACGTGTGTTGCGAGGCAAAGCACAAAGCAGTAATACAACTCTTTACAGTAGGGCCGAGTTCCCCCCCCCTCCCCCAAATGAGTACCTGGGACCCCGCCACTGAATTGGCTATATTTTTGCATTTTTATCCTAATCCAAATAGATTTTAATAAATTATGAGAAAAAGCAACAACATTTCTAAAAATTATGAGTTTTATTTACGGTTGAGACTTCTTATCATCATAAACATATACCTATACCTATATCATATATCCAGCTATTTATCAAGTACAAAACATTTTTCTTGAGGCTCGGATCTGGATTGACTTGGCCTTCATAAGCCTTTTCGGTATGTTCACTATAAGGTACCAAAACAAGTTTTAATCATTTTATTGTGATACACATGTCGTACATCAATGTTCTAATGGGATGGGGGAAGAGAAGAGCTCCAAAAATCTTTACAAAAGAAAGGGCCAACCTGTTTCTCTTTACACAATTCTAGTAAAGATTTGAAAATATTTGTGCAATTTCCTGCTTAGACGAATGTTATCTATAAAATATGGAGTAAAAATCTGCATGAAAAATCCACACGTAATGAATATGGTTTACATGTTACATACTTTTGTTATGAGAAATTGAGAAACATTTATGCGAAAATTTTCAGTACCGTTTTTTGTGTAATACTGACGGATTCTTAATTTTTCATGGAATTGAGTACTCAAAAGTTTTTCAAGTTTCTTAATTTATTGAGATGGCAGAAATACGTTAGAAGATGAAATTCACTATAATGCAATCTTTATCTACAATTTAACTCTGAATCAATAGCAAATCAGCCCACCTGACATTGATAAACCTGGTAGACTGCATAAAATTTCGCTTTTTTCAGTAAGTTTACAGCGGATTGTAAAAAGAAAACTGAGCTGAAAGCCAGTACTGAAAGTTTTTGAGCTACACCGTACTGAATTACTTATGTATAGTTTTCTATAAAAAAAATGCACAACTCTACCTTTGAAAACAAAACTCTCTCCAAACAACACTTTTGTCCACAGTTCCAAAATAATTTAGCTCCAATGCGATTTTCTGTGAATCTGTGCCCCCTATTTCTCTTAAGGATTTGGATTTATTCTAGCTGCTAGTGAGTTGACAATCAAAATTTATACTGAAGACGGCTGATGCAATCCAATGCAATCTCAATATATTCAAGCTTGGGAATAAAACAACCAAACATGCTTGTATGATGTAATCTGTTTTTTAGCACCGTGGGGGGGGGGGGGGGGGGGGGGGTTCTTCAATAGTAAAGGTATCTGAGGTGTGCTGCGAGCAGGAGTATACTTTCTTTGGAACTAGCTAAGGGTATACTTTTTTGCATGTTGAAGTCAAAGTTTAGTGAAGGGTATCATATTTGACAATATTGGCCTAGCCAAGGAATGGTCTAAGAAATTCTTCCTGACAAACCCCTATTTGTTGTTGCTAAAATAGAAAATGATACAATATGATCTTTGACATTTCCGAGTTTAAAAGAAAATTTTTGAGGACGAAGTGCACCTTGCAATGATGATGCAAGAATCTCTACCTTGAGAACGACAGTAAATATTTATTGGTCTGTATTTTCGAGATCAGTGGAAATACAAGCTTTAAATTGTTCGTTAGATCGCATTTTGAAAACGCCGAAAAAAAGAAAAAGGAAACATTATCAACTGTTTTCTGCGTCTTTATGGTTTGAATCTTATAAAAAAAGACTCAAAGTAAAGGTTTCAGAAAAGATGATAAACACTTAAATATACAGACTGGTGAAAGTATTAGGCCGACTTCACAAATCGCTTACTGAGTTACGTTAATGCCTCCAACAGACCCCTAGAAAATCATTGCTTCTAAGCAAGTAATTAGGGCAGCAGTTCCATAATGGTCTTTTTTATGGGTTATTATTTTAAAGACGTGTAGGAATAAATTTTCTCGAAAAAGTCATTCTAGTAGATGTTACTTGAAAATGCTAGTCATTTTTAAATTCCCTGGAGCAAATAAAAAAAATGCCTGCTTCCTCACAAAATGAAGGATGCTTTTCAATTAAAAGTCTATCAATCTTAAAACATAATCGTACAACAGTTCAAACATTAAGAAATGTTGCTAAGTGTAGCAAAATCCCTCGCTTGTGATAACTGGTGATTTGGTAACAGGCCGCTTTGGTTACTGCATCCGAACATGCTTTCCCCGATAACAGAATAAAATTTAAAATAAAATGAGGTAAATATTTTCTTTAAAAAATAATCATGATTGGCATAGGTTCTCACTCTCTTAGCATAACAGATCAAAAGCCGCTTACACTGGAAATGACGAAAATATATATATATAATAAATATCTGAATCAATGAGCAGGGAGTTGGTAATCATGCGAGCGAGGTGGTTAGAAACCTCGGAATCAATCAAGGCCGCAGAAGAAGAACTAGCCATCTACGAAAACTGAATAACAAAAATAAGATTTGCCAAGAATCCTCAATAACCCATAGACGAGGGTACTCAGCTCTTCCATCGTGGCTTCACGCACGAGGGAGAACATGTACTAAGTCAAACCTTGAAAGATACTGCTTAACGCGGTAATTCTAGAACAGACAGTTCTCTAATGTTTTCAAGTCCTATTAAACGTTAAACGCGAATGGATTTGCTTATAGCAGGCAAGACTAGTCGTCTTCGTCGTAATCTTCTTCATCGTCATCTTGTTGTGACTGCAGCATCAGTGGAAGTGAATGCGAGGTTGTCGCACCGCCAATACTCGTCGAGCTGCAACAACGACAAAAAGCATACGCCTATTTATCACAATTTTGGACCAAGGCAAGTTTGCTAATATGCAATTAGAGACTTTCAAGATGTAATAGGTTTGTCTTTCATTATCATGTCGAGACTAACAGGTAATAAAAATGGCTTGTAATTTGGATTAGTTAAACAATGTTGACTGTGAAGACAGAAAGAGTTCATTTTCACCAGTGAACATGATAATATCATTTCACTAGATAATACTCCTATCGGCAAGCGACACTGATTTGGCAACCTTAACAGTCCAATTGGCAACCGATTGGCAAATTTCGATCCACGATCGGGTATAAATATTCCTAGCCTAGAGTTCTCGATCTTTGTTCTGACGTTTTCTTCTGGGAAAAGTGTCAGACGAAAATCTTTATGATGATGCAAAATGATTGCTTTTCTTAAAGCCATTTTTAAAATTTCTTTTGTGAATCAGATGCTACAGAAATCAGAAAGTGCTAGTGGAACCGTTTAAAGAATAAGAGTTAACCTGGACAAGCATACTAACCTCGAGGAGGCATTGTCGTTAAGGGATTGCGAAGAATTTAAAGCTGGTTTTGTTATTGTACAAGTAGCACTGTTTGAGTCTGTTCTGCTCTCCTTAACATCGTTTCCTTCTTCATCGGCATTTCCTCTAGGGAACACAATCGCCGTATCTTCTGTCTGTCAAAGGAGGCAGAAAAAATTGTCATATCAGAAGAGTGAAGCTGTCATGAATATTAGATGAGTTGATTAAATGAGCTGATTTTTCGCCAACAACTGAGTACCAATCTTGAGTTACTTGCTAAAAGAATACGTGCATATGGCCAGAAAGCAAAAGCCCATTTAAACGTTTAATTATAACATCATAACAACATTTCAACTTACATTGTCGGATACATCTTCCTCCTCTGAATCGTTTGATGATGATGATTTGTGAAATTTCTTTGTCGACTTTTTCTTTTCGCTGGGGGCTCTCGGTTTTCTTCTAAACAGAAAAAAACAAAAAAAATAAGATTATTATTTTTTCATGAGGCTGACATATTTAGAAAAACTTGTAAAATAAACAAGAAGTTGATGAAAAGGTAAGAGCAGAGAAGTACGGCTAGAATTGCAAAAGGGACTTATCATTTCAAGAAATTCCCATGTTGTCAAATTTGGCTAGCTCAGAAGGATATACTTTCCAGGAAGCCATGTATCTATTTAATGAATCTATTTAAGTGTAGTACCCGGCTAGTGAAACCAATAAACATATTTTTACAGCTTTGAGCCAGGATAGCTGTAGATTAATTAATCAGAATTGTTTTTTAATATATGTTCTCTAAGCAGTGATGTAATGTAGATGACGGCACCTTAGTTAAATAACTAAGGGTCTCCAATCAAAGAGTGCGCCTAAATTATTTTTCTATTCATGTTTTAAGGTTGGTCTGTTTTTAAAAACTTTAAAAGTTCTTCAACTGAAGCTTATAACTCATAGGCAAGGCAACGGCTGTGAAAAACTGACTTCTCAACTAACTAAGATGATCTCGACGGTATCATATACTTTCGAGTATGGAGATTCAGAACCCAAGATGGAACTCAAAAAAATCGCCTCAATATCACATGATTGATAACGTCATCACTAACGGCAAAAACAGTCATAAATCCGCTTTATATTCAAATAAAATTGCACATTTAGCAATTGTAGGTCTTATGTGAATGCGCATTTCCAAAGCTTTAAATTGATGCATCATATAACTTAGTTTACTACCGTTTGCTTATTTTGTGACGTCATTATGGAATTTCCCAAGTTTCGCCACAACTTCTGTGCTGATAACTAAATGAGTTGAAATTCATTGCAAATGAGCTATGAAACAACTCATACACAGACAAACTACAAATAGCCAATGTAACATCTTCATGGATCTACACCATGTCCATACTAGCAAAAATCAGAGAACACTCGTTCCATTCAAATTATAGAGACAAGCTACTGAGCTTTCGTTATGTGCAATGTAGACTATTCTGACGTTCCTTTTCGATCTCTTTCGTTGAGACTCCTAAAATGATTGCAAAGGTTAATACATACTGCTGCAGGTATTCTACTAGGCCTCTACGCCTAGTGAATGAACATAGAAACTGGCATCTGATGAAGCTTTCCTTTAAATACATATATGATCAGGAAAAGCCCTAGTACGCTGACATATGGCTTAAAGAAAACACCAGAAACTTAACAACCAGTTCTATGCCGCCTATTGAGTCGTCTTGTGCTTCCAGATAGTCTTAGGAAAGATGTGGCAGAACTCCTCAATGAACTGCCGACATTTGGGAAGCTAATGCTGCAATGGGATTTTCAACACCAACGTGCATGTAAATTATGCATAGAATGCTATTTCAATACTTGTAAAAAAGCTGGCAGTGACCAGGTATAGAGTTGCTCTGTAAAGAAACTGCTTTATCGTCATTGCTGTGGCACTACACAAGTGCATTATGATTATTATGACGACTTATTAGTGTCAAGCATAATCAAGTAATGTCGAGAAGCATAAAAAAGGTTTGGAGCAACATAGTCTCAGCATCTTTGCAGTAAATTCCAACACATTTAGTTATCAGCACAAAGGTTGTGGCAAAACCTGGGAAAATCTATAATGACGTCACAATAAAGCAAACGTTAGTAAAATAAATAAAATTATATAAGGCATCAGAGCTCTTGAGATGCGCATTTACATAAGACCTACAATCGCCAGATTGTGCAACTTGATTTGAATATATAGCAGATTTATGGCTGTTTTTGTTATTGATAACATCATCAATCATGTGATACTGAGGCAAAACTTTTCGGGTCCCATCTTGGATTATGAATTTCCATACTCGAAAGTATATAAAACCATCGAGATCATGTCGGTTAGGTGAGAAACCAGATTTGCACAGCCGTTGCCCTGCCTATCAGCCCTCCGTAGTTAACAAGAAAAATAAATAATTTCATTTTTGTGTTTGACATTCTATACAGCATTGAACTGGACTTTCTTACATTCTTACATCTTAGTTTTTTCCCAAGGGCCCCACTACTTCTACTTTTTATCATTTTATTCATTGTCTAAAAGTCAGGAAAAAACTTCACATTCACGGTCACTGCAACACACAGGAAAGTATTTCTCTGTTATGTTTTGAGTATTCAATAATACTGGAATCATGGATAATGCTGTGCTTACAGAAATTAAAAATCTTAGAATGAAATTTTGATCTAAATATATGACATTCTGTTATTCCCTGCTTTTTGCAGCACAGAGCTATGAAATAAACTTACGGTTTCTTTGCTTTTGTTTCCCCCGAGTCATTGTTGTCATCTTCTTCTTGATTCTGCATGTCAGCAATATTAGCAACCAAATCTTTTAAGAAGTCAAACTGATTTTCAGACTCAATACATTGTTTTCTAAAGCAAATAAGAGATTTATTTTAACGCTTTAAAAATAAAAGATAACACATAAGCTTAAGATCTGTAGAATTAACAGAACATTTTCAAGTGAAGATATATCAGAAATTGAAATGAAGCAGGATTGGGGGCATGGGGTGTTAAAGCCCCCAGGATATTAGTTAGCCCCCACATCAGCAGTCAAACTATTTTGATTTTCCTAATACCGGCAGCATAGCAGTTGATGGATGTCATACCTTTTACAAGATGTCAGAATGACATCAAAAATTGATGGGCCGATTTCCGAAAATCATCCTATATGAGGTACATTGCCAAAATGCATGCTATCTTAGTTTACATTTTTCTGTCAGCAGTTTGATACATCTTTCCTTGGCAGTTACTTTGAATACAAACATCAGAACCTTGAATGTTTGTCTCTAGCACCACCTCTGAAATGATAGTGATTTCCCCATACTGCTCAAAATGTAAGTGATTTCATAAGGCTTTTGCGACCTCCTTTATATCATCAGTAAAAATTATGTCAATTGAAAGCATTTGTTGATGACCCACTGAAAATACAAAGGGAAAGCTAAAAAATTGGTAAAGGGAAAACTGAGCCCCTTTAACTATGATTGGGTGTGGTTGATTTCAAAGGTGAAAAATTTCTAGCAAATATGCTTACTGTAAAAAAGAAAATGCTTGACAAAACCTGAGTCTTTTCACTAAAGAATTAAGCAAAATTTATAATACTAAATACAATAGATACTTACAGATGACCAGTAGTCATAGTTTTTGCTCGTTTTGCTTTGGTCAAGTCTGAAGTTTTCTCAACTAATTGTTGGATAAAAATTTCCAAAGCTCGTGCTGGTTAGGTAAGTCAAGGAATCAAAAGTAATTTGTTGAAAAATTGGAAAAAAAATTATCTTAACAGCATCGGGATGCCATTCAAATAAGCTTCCAAAAAAGGTTCATGATAGGCTGAAACAGGGACCAGGTATAAAATGAAAAGTTCCCCTGCATCAGACATTCAACAGAAGAGAAATGAATGAATGACCTTAATAGACAAACTGTTCGTAGGTAATCAAAATATTCATCCTGAGTAATAATTTCAAAGGTCTGTTCTGGCCCTGTTTAAAGCTGTAGCAAACAGACTAATTATCCAAAAAACATGGTGCTCAAGCTGCCAGCAGAATACATTATATGACTGGACAAAAAGCATTCTTTTGGGATATTTTAATTAGTGAACTCATTTTGTTAAAACATACTTGTTGCATACAACATTTAGCAAACCATATTTTTAAAGAAGAATTGCAAAATACAAACTTCAAAGTTGCAAATTCAAAGGATACAAATAATAACAGGTACAGCAGCGGCAACTTTCCCTATTTCTTCATCAGTCTGCATAATTTTCTTTATTCTAGCCTAAAAATAAGAATAACCAATGAGCAATGGACTTAAACATAAAAATCTACTTGCAAAAATCATTTCTTGATAACTGGCATAAGCTAAATAGCCATTTCATCTTTTATTATTCATATGTTATTATTTGAGTTTCAATTGGAGAAATAAAACTATTTAAAGGGGGGCTTGTAAAAGTTTTCTTCATGAATTCATGGCTATACATAAGATGAAGCAAAGGAGTAGTTAGTTTCCCTACAGAAATATAGAGTGCTGGGTCGCATGGTGTTTAGTAGTCTGCATGTAAACAGTAGGAACTGAGCATCAGATTGAAAGTCTCTGAACTACAACCAAACCAAAGAGTGGTATGCTCTCTGCAGCCTAAAATATTACACACAATATCAATAATGCCCTTCCATAACATTTTGATACTAGAAAACAACAAATAGTATATACAAGATTAAATTGTATTAAAATCATCCTTGATATATGAAAGTGATTCAAGGTCTCTTTGTTACACTGGGGAAGTAACAGGAATTTAGATGATGGGGACAAGAGAAAGGAATTATTTAAATGCACTTCAGAGAAACTGCTTAATCTGGTTACTGATAAAGAGAAAGTAAGACAATAATTTGTACTTGTGTTTGCTACCTAGCATCTGAAGGTAGTTTAAAGGGCACTGAGAAGCTGTGCTTATCCAGCAGTGTCCTGGTTCTTCACCTTGAAGTGACCACAAAATTCAATTCCTATGCCTGGATATACAGAAAGCTGGCAACTCCCCTCACTCTAGGTGCAAGTTCGGTCATGCCAGATCTGTAGTCACCGCCTCTTATAACTGAGCTATCCTCACAACTTATAATGATGGTATGGCTGACAAGAGCACTAAAATATGTTTAGAATTTTCATATGAACCACAGGCCATCCATAATTAGGGGCCAAGATGCGATAGAAATCATTTTATCTGACATCTGCTTAAATTCATAACTTCCGAGCATGTCTAGATTTTATGTGGGCAGCCATGATATCAAGACTTTGTTCTGACCACATGATTTGAAGAAAATCAGAATTTTCTTAAAATGATCATGGCCCAGGGATTTGATCTGTTTGAGATGCTTTATTTCTAAGCCATTTAGCATAACGGGCTCATAGGATGACATATTATAAAGTCAACCTTTGGGGCCCAGTTACCATGTATTTTACTTTTGTAGATTAATGCTTAGTTTGTTCATTCCCATACTCCCTGTAGAATACTTATGGAAATTTTTTTAAAATCATTAAAATAGATGATAAGAAAGAGTAGGCCAAGGCAAAATCCATGTGGAATGCTGCTCACAACTAAGTTTTTACTACACTTTTGATCACCCAAAGAGCAGTATTGATTCCTATTCCTAAAGCAAGATTCAAACCAATTTCCTATGATACCTCTAATACTGAATAAGCTCAACTGCTTAACTCTGATCTAAATTGTTTAAAGGCTTTCTTCAGATAAAGAAGCTCTGAAAAATTCAATAGTTTATGGTCTATGCTTCTTTATTGTTCATCAGATATAATTCAGTGTCAGTATTGTTCAAGAACTTTGAAACAGAAATCACTCATGTTTGCTAAAATATTAAAATAATAATGCAAACAACAGGTTAGGTTGTAGTAAACAACATACAAATGAGGTGTTAGTAAAACAAACACATAACGATACAGGTAAAGAAATCAATAACAATAGGTAAAACATTAGGCTGTCTCTAAAAGTGCAAAGTATTGTTCTCCAAATAAAGAATTATTATTAATATCATCCCTCGATCTATTCCTCTGATCCAGGCTTGTTATAGAGAAGAAGACTTTTTAGTGCCCTTATAGCTTAAGTATGTTGTTTTCTTTAATTTTAGCAATTGAGAGAAAACCTCCTTTTTTAGTAAATTGACCAAAGTCCTTCCCCTTAAATTTATTTGCTTTTTTGTTTTTCTTATCTTATCTGTTATACTAGTGCAAAAACAATTTATAAGAACCAGTTAATTGAAGTTCAGGCTGGATTGTTCTTAATTTGTCTGTGATCAATTTTTAGGCTTGTTTTCTAGTAAAATTTCTCTTTCATAAAAGAGAGTGTAATTACAAAGCATGTAAAAAATCCAGTTGTATGTAGATAATCTTAACATTCATATCAATGGAACTGAGAACTGGTACCTTGTGATGAATGGAAATTTTTTTGACAACCTGCTATTCACGGTATACGTAGTAAGCATTTTGCTTAAAGTGCAACAAAACATTAAACATACACGTTTTTTGGTTTGAAAAATCTCAAGTTTTATATCTTATTTGCATGTCTTAAAAAAGAGAGAGAAAAATCACCAATCCTTTTTTCACTAGAAACGATTAAATAAACAGTTCCCATCGCTCATAGGAGATCGGGGGAGACACTGTATTCGCCAGTTTTACCAGAAACCTAAACCAAGGATTCTCAAAATAGCTGTACGCCAACTTCAGGGAGCCCTTATTTCCACGATCTTTCTCAATAAAAATTATATGATTTTGTATCGAAACAGAGAAAGTTACAAGTTACAAGCCTTGTTTGGAAATGATTTAGGCACACAAACGGAATTTAAAAGCTTATGAAAATAAGTGAGTGGCCCGTTTCACTTACAGTAGGAAACCTTGCTTCATACTTCCTCTTCTTTGTTGGCATATTGTAGGTTTTCTTTTCTGTTTTCTAAAACAGGTCGACCTGAATTCCTCCACTTGCCCGTCGTTTGCTGTACCTGCACTGCACCTGGCCTACTCTCAAGTGATATATTCGCATTCACAGCTTCAGGAAGCAATTTGTCGCTGCGGAGGAATCTGTTTTACTTCATGTTCTCGGAATTAAAATAAAACACAATATGGCGACCATAATACGGAGGAATGCATATCGCCTTACCCAAAGGCATTTATTTAATGCAATTCAGAGTGAGTGTAGAGTCATCAATACTTGCAAGAGTAGAAGATTATTACACACTTCACGATTTGTGGGAAGTGACAGTGATCTAAAGCTTACATCAAGTTGTGTTAAGGTATGGTAAAATGTCGATCGAGATCATCTCAAACAGCCTAAGCCTTGTAGCTAGGTTTCCAAAGCTTCTTGGGGGTACATATTTTGCTTCAAATTAAACTAGCAACGGGAAGGTATGAATTCCCATACTTATTTGTGTTGTCAGCCTATAGCATGATCAGTGATACCCAAAATAATAACTGTCAAGCCTAATTCAATTGTTTGTTATATAATAATTTTTTCACCAGATGGTGGCAGTACACAGCCTGTAGCCTTAGGCCTTCCATAGTGGAAACACTGGTATGCCAAAGAAAAAAATAACACGACAATAAAATAATGTTTTCCTGCTTGAGAAATTTCCTATCAAATTTGTGTGCTTCGACTATGGAAATACTATTTATAGTATTAAGGCTGTGATGGCCCATTATCTAATTACAATACAATAATTACATAATTAAATGTGTTCAGTTCTTTCTTGGAATGCTCTTTAGCAGTTGAAGGAAACTGCAAAAAATTTGTTCTAACATGTCCTTTCTACTTTGTTAATACAACAGGCCTATCAAGAGAAAATGTACTTCATCATCAAAAAAATATTGTTGACTAGACTCACAGAAAACACAAAAACTCGCAAATCTTGCATGTCTTTGCACACTGACATGCAAAGTTGCATGGCAAAGTTGCTTCTTGTAGAATAATCCAACAAAAGATAGAGATAAGCTTGAACTTATAGAATTCACAGAACTGCAGGTTGTTACACCATCAGGTTGGGAGCACTCATGTTTGGAAACTATCCACGATTTAGGGAAATCCATGCAAATGCTCCATATTTCCCAGATGTCTGAATAAAACAATTGTGTGGTTGTTAATTAACAAATAACCATCATTGTTATTTGTTAATTGATGATATTTGTGTATAACGAATTGGTTGTTTTGATAAAATAATACGTTCTTGTTTTGTTACATTTCCAGCAACTTCAGAAAATCCTGGAAGGAGAGGAATTTCTCAGGGTTGTGATTGAAGGTGGTGGCTGTGCTGGGTTCCAGTATAAGTTTGAAGTTGACAAAGACATTCATGAAGATGACAAGTATGCATGAAATTATTTTGCAAATTTTTGTCAATTAACTTTGTTGTCGACATATATGGCTACTACCTAAACATCAACATAATGGCTTTCTTTGTATGTTGGTTCTCACCAGTATTTTGTGTAATATATATGTTTAGTGGTATTCTGTTGATGGGTGGCTGTAGAGATATGTTGCATGCCTCCTGACACTTCCTAGTAACTTGGTGGCAAAATCTTCAGTTTGTTTCTGAAACGGCATACACAAGTCACATACAATACAGACAATGATAAAACTTTATTGTTAAATGCTTAAGAAACATCATATTGACATAGCTGTACATACTCTTGTTTTTGGAAACACAAGAACGAATAAATCTACAATAGATTTTACTAATTGTGATTAGAAAAGTCAAGAATGATATTGCACTATGTGTGTCAATACACTCTATAAGGACTATGTACTAGCAAGTAACTGAATTACCAGTTTTAGTTTTGTATTCAATAAATTTATAAAGCAATGTATAGCTTTGCAGTATAAGACATACCAGTTTCTAATTGATTTGTAATATTTCCTTTAAGTCAAAGCTTTTTGACAATTTTAATCTGCTTACAGTAAAACTTCTTCTTTTTCTAGGGTGTTCCAAGAAGATGGAGCAAAGGTTGTTGTAGACATTGACTCTTTAGGACTTATAAAAGGGTCTTCTATTGACTATCAAGTTGAAATGATAAAAGCTAGCTTTGTTGTTCTAAAAAATCCCAATGTTGAGAAAGGTTGCTCGTGTGGCACCTCATTTTCAATAAAAATATGAGTAACTACATTACTGCAATTACTCTATTTGATAATGCTAAGTGTTTTACTGTTAATATTTATATCAAAAGTAATGGAAAATGGAAATATTTCTGTTAATGAGTAATATTATTGATTATAAACTTAGCCTTGTTTTCTTTTTTCTAAAAATAGAATAACTGAAAAATCTATAATTCAAGCAGTACCATTTGGCTTTGGTATTATAATTATGATAAATGAATGATGTAATGTAAATGAAGCATGATTTGATAACAAATTTTCTAGTATGAAAGTTAATTATATCAAAATTATGTTTAAACGTTTTTCGACCGAGCAAATGAGTTTGTGCAAGTGTAGCAAAACAGTCTTACAGAAACGTGGCACTTCATCAAACATTTACTTTTCGGCAGGGGGATGTCATAATAAGAAGAATTATTTATGTTCCACATGCCGGTATCACCTCCAAGATATACATAAGGTATTGCGAGACAGAAGAAAATGCTGCATTTAAGAATGTTTCTCACAAAGCAGCTCATCATTTTACTGTCGTTAAGTTGGTATAACGAAATAAGAAGTTTAGCACAGTTGCTGTAAGCTGTTTGGTTTAGAAGAAAAACATGCTCTGATTTTGAAAAATTGGGAGCGAGGTTTGTCATGTTCCCTATCTCCGGATTTATAAACCTTAGATACCTAGGGATCACGTCGTATTTATGGCATGAATGTTTTGCTTTTTTCTGCTTCTGCTGCTCTGCAAATTGGTTCTGTTTCCTTTATTTTATGGTTTACTTCTAAATAATGAGAGCAATTAAAGGATTTTATAAGTGTTTTTCAATTATTTAGAGAAGAAGTGTCGTGCGAGAGTCCTGCTTTTATGAAACAGTGATACAGATAGGGACAATAGATAAAAAAAATTAGAAACAGATTGAAGTTTTGCTAGGGTTCAAATATCAGACGGTATCCTCTTCCATTGTTATATTTTGCCTGATTGTCATTAAATGAATTACTCCGTGTTCTCATTACAGTTCTCGTACTCGTCACTTTTTATGATTTTGATGACGTGCTTTCCCCTTTGTAAAGTAACTTCTTCCTGTCAGGCGAAATCTTCCCTTTAGAAATTAACATTGCCTACGTAAAATGACTCGAATGCTAGCTGGTTAGTCTAGGTGTGTCAAAGGGAAATAACAGACTCACAACTAAAGATCTTTATATAAAAAAGAAAAGGGCTATTGTGTCACTACTGGTCAGATTAAGAAATATACTTTTTGAAAATAAAGAAAGAAATGTGTGCGCATTACCAGGACGATGGACTTCTTTGAAAAATTCGCAGTTGGCAGCATAATGTAGAAACACCTTTATAAAAATATCGTGACACGATTTGCCTGAAAAACAAGTGTTTTTGAAAATTGTCAATCGTGTTTACAAAACAAAGCAAATGTTATCAGACAATCGACCGTTCTACTAACAGTGTCACAAAAACTCTTATTTAGTGGTCTTAGAAACTGTAGTTGTATTTAGATGTAGAAAAAAACAACGTGAAATGAGAATAATATCTAAAAACACGCAAGCCTCAAATTATCCAAATTAAGAAGATCAAGCCTCAGTAAAAGAAACTGGTTCTTAAAGAGAAAAGTGTGTGTACAGAGTGTGTACAATGTTCCCATGATTAAAAATGATAGAAGGCATAATGTGATAGAAATAGTACAGATGCTCTGACATTTTGGTAATTGGGTTAAAAATAATCGTTTTATTAACAGAAACCATCAGAAAATATCAGAAATCCTCAAAAGAAAATGCAAGTTTTATCTAGAGAAGGAGAGACCCTTTAAAGCAACACCGATTTTTCCATTATTTATATTATATCTTTGTTTGTAGGGAATATCGAAAATTGGCCCCTTGTGGCTGGGGAAAATCATCCCTTGGACATGGTCTAAAACTTCCTTTCACATCTTTTCCTTTCCGGGGGAATGCTAGCACGTTGCCTAGGTACCGCGTGCATACAGAAACTTTTTTGCGAAAAAGGGAATTTTGGCGATTGGAATGGGAACAAAATGAGCAATGAGCTCGATTTCAACTCTCACTGCATGTCCAGTATTCAACCATAGCTAATAAAAATTTGAAGATGATGCCGATATTTCGTATTACATTTAGCAGTTGATATAATCCAAAATACATTTCTTGTGTTGCGTCAATCATTCACTGGTCTCTTTAAAAAGATTGATGTACTTATTCAATGGTCCTTAAACTACTTAAGCAGAGGTTAGAAACGGGAACAAATCTATATGGACTCTCCGTCATATTCAATACAGGATAAGGGCGATGATCAATTAAGTAGCCTCAAGTACCTTAGATATTCATTGTAAATATATTGATGCTGATGGTTGCTTGTTTTTAGGTAGTGGTGGGCAATTAATATTTACAACCGGACACATGAGAAACCTGAGCTATGTTAGGGGACCAACGATAACTTTCTTATGTGCAATATTAATTTTCTCCCAATGTAACAAGTTATATGCACTTTATTGTAAGTGCTACTAGGTATAAAAAAGATAAGGTTTAGTTATGACGTAAACGTTTCTATAATATATATATGAAATTTTGGTGTAGGCTTGGAAATTCGTGTTTTCTTAAAAGTTTCTTAATATAAATGCTTCTCGAACAGTCAATAAAGAAGAAACCACTGCGCACAAATGTTGAAGTCTGAAAACAGATTCAAAACAGCATTCAGTTTTCTCTGAGATTCTTGGGGCTATTTGAAGGAAGGTAATTCGTTTGAAAATTGGAATGTGGCAAAACCCAATACTCAGAAGATAATATTGTAAACACTTATAGAAAGGACTAGTAAAATGCTTTAAACAACAAGAAGTTTAATAACAGCAAACAAATAAGGGCAGTGATACAAAAATTTCAAACTCTTACAGAGAAAAGCAATGATAAACAATCATTTTAAGTGAGCCGATATTGTTCCCAAGGGTTGATGTTCCTGCTTTTTGCATAATTTGAAGCTCTGGTCCTCTTGATGTTATTCTATTTCCGAAATTGATTTGTCTACAGTTACTCACTATAAATTGTTTCTTAGTCCATTGAATAACAGGTTTGGATTGATACGTTGATAAATCAATACAAACTGGAACAGCTTTCTGCCGAACATCCAGGCGTTTTGTGGCAAATGCAAGTTAACCATATACGTTAGTGTCAAAATACATAAATATAAAAATAAGCTAGTTAACCATTCAAACAGCGTAAATTTAAATCAGAACACTGAAACAAGTGGGTTTTCGAAGTGTTCTCCGTTTTTCAACTTGTTTTAGTGTGAATACAAAGCAAAATACATACAAATTATGCAATTTGGTTTCACGATGCTCTCGCATAGTTTATATCTATTAATTTCGTTGTGTCCACACTAAAACAATTGCAATTTGGATCCGGATGAAAATAATGATGGAAATGAGCCTGTCAGATTTCTGACCTTATAGGCCTGATAATAAACTAGGTCTTGTACCAAAACTAAAGATTCTAATGATTTTATCAGTCACCTCCTACAACCTGGAAGCAAGTTGGTCCTATTGACATGAATTGACATGAATAAACAGTACCATCGGAACGAAATGCATATTGGGGGAGGGAGGCTGCCCATTGTTTTCCTTCTCATTGAGTACACCGTTATAAAGGGAACATACTACAGTTTGACAACTATGGGGGGGGGGGGGGGGGGGCTCCAGCACTCACTGGTCGAATCAAAATCAAGAAGCTCAATGCCGACCGCCTACCATATTTGGCTAAAATGCTATTTTTTTTGCTAACAACAAGCTTGAGAAATACACTCTTTTTTTAAAAGAACCAGTAAATTTAAGTTCAGGCTGACTGTTCTTAATTTTTTCGAAAATCTGAGGCTGGATTGTTCTTAATTTGTTCATAAATTAAGAGGGTGTAAGCAGTGCTATTGCTAGCTTTTTCGCTCTTTTGCCAACAAAGTGAGTGAGACAGCCTTAATTTGCTGAAAAATTTGAATATTCACCGAAAAAGCACCCACACATCGCTAAAAATCCTCGATTTTGAGAAAAAGCGTTGTTCAAAATTGCATTTGGCAGAAGCTCAGCCTCAGCTTGTTCTCAATTTGTTCTTAACTTTTGACCAGTTTTGAGGCTCGTGTTCTTATAAAATTGTTCTTATAAAAAAAGAGAGTGTATTTTAGGAAATGATGTTATTGCTTTAAGTTGTATGTGACATTCCTTTTGCTGACGAACTTCCTTTCGTGTGAACAATATCAGCAAAAGTTGTCAAAGTCGCACCCTGGAATGCTTTGTTGTAACATGTTTACATCTGGCAACCATTGTTAATTATTTTGGAATAGTTCCCACATCCCGGTAATTAGAAGTGGGATGCGGAACTTGGAGAAGAGCTAGCCTGCTTTCCTACTTATCATTGTGTAATTACAGAATGAAACAAAAATTTAGATTGGCAATATCAGAGAGAGGGAAATTTCTTAAAAATTTAATGACTTTACAGAGGTATAAATTAAGGCAGTTCCAAATTGCTATTCAGTGAGCTTGGAAAGAGAATCGAAACAGTGGCGGTAAGTTAGTTTCTATTATGACAGATTCTTTATTCAACCTTCAACCTCTTATAATGATATCAAGAATCTGCTTATAAAGTTTAAAAGTATGGATTCGGCATTAATACTAAGCTTAGACTTTGGCTGTGTAAAGTAAAATCATATGGATGAGAATATTAAAGCCAGAAATTATCATGGACAGGTAAAATAAAAGTGAAAATGGAAAGTTTCGTGAATCACGTTTATCTCACATTTTCAATTTTTGTTGAAAGAAAAAGCCTATATATGCCCAAAAGATACTTTTTTGCCGTGATATTTGACTTTTAAATATTAAACAAAGTGAAAATACGACCCCAAATCAGCATCGCAAAAACAATTTTGAGAAAAGCTTGGTATGCTTTCCGTTAAATAAAGAACGATCTATAGGGAACGTAACAGAGACTATTGGTTATTGGAACATAAACGGCAGCCTTTTATTTTCGAAAACGAAACGTGTTGATTGGCTTGAAAGGCTGGCAAGAGGCAGGCTCACATTTCACCTTTGTTACTGCATTCTAATCTATGTTGCATTTTCTGATTTTGCATAACCATTATTATTAAATTTCTGTTTTCGAGGAATTTTTATGAATTTATTCCTGTAATAAGATACAATGCAATATGTACGAAAAATACAATTTGTGATATCTTACTTGTTGTCATAGCAATGATGGTGCGCCGGTCTCTCATACTTTGGGCCTGCTTCTTCGGCATACTTGCTGCTGCAGACAAAGGTAAGATATTTGTCGACTCCAACTGCAGTTGTTCATTCAAAGTAAATCGAATCCTCATGATACTCTTTCTGCAAATGTTTCTTCATGCTAATTTGACGAGAATCTATTGATACGACGAGAAAGGGGTATTTAGCTTCTAGGCAAGAGTTGTAACAAGTTTTTCTAATTGGTTGTTGGTTCCTAATTATTCTGATGTTACAAATAAGTGCTATTTATTCATTGGCTCGCCATGCAATAATATTGCAGCTTAAACCAGAACACATGGTGGGGAGACACACACGTTTAGATAAACTTTTATTCCTTCTTTGAGCGTTTTTTCCTTCTCTCATGTGTAAACCAAAAAGTAATGAAAGTTAATTTTTAATTTTTCAGTTCAAAAGTGCTAAAGAGTATACTGTTTGACAACTTGTTTATACCGCTTTTAGGCTATTTGAACTCATATTCGGATTCGCAGACCTCGGTATCACCAGATAAAGATGCGCTGGAACTGAATGAAAACAATGACCCTTCAACTTTTAAAGAGAAAGAGGAAGGTGAAGGACTTTTAGATGACGGCAGTAGTGTCAACGAGGACCAAGGTAATATCTAAAAATAAATCCATAATATTTTTAAATTCAGTTATCGCTAAGAAATCTTTTAATCTATTCCGTAACTTGGCTTTCCATCAAATTTGCAAGGAGTTTCCTGCGCCAGAGCTGGTTTTTGAGCGCGGACAACAAACATTTAGGCATAAAAACAGAGTACGTTACGCAACGATAAAACTCATGTTAAGCAACGTTAGCATGAAAAAACCACTATTGTGCCAGAAGGAGTTCGTTTTCACTATAGGATTTCATTGGTAACACTTTCAATAGGCAAGCGGCACTTATTGGGCAACCTCGACAGTTATGTGCTCGCGTTTCTAATTGGCCTATTTCGATCCACAACTGGGTATATATATTTCCTAGCTTAATGATTTGATCTATGTTCTGACGATTTACGCTCCGAAAAGTGTCAGACGAAAAGCTTTAGTATGACTCAAAATGTTTGCTTTTTTCAAAGCCATTATGACAAATGTTTTATCCAGTCTAAATCTCGACCTGTTCCGAAATCGATTTTTGCCAAATCGAAGGCATATTGGCATATCATTGTTCCAAACTGATTGGACTTATGCTTTCTTCCATTTCTGAATTAAATTTGATAGCAGTCATTTTCCACTCAGGCTTGACACAAAGAGACCCTAGAATTGGTGGTCTGATAAGACTCATAGTTCGTGGAAGTCGCGGTGCTCGCCGGAGTAGGAGCCTCCGTATAAGGAGTCGCCGAAGAAGGAGCCGTCGACGAAGAGCTAGGAGAAGAAGGAGCCGTCGACGAAGAGCTAGAAGAAGGAGGAGTCGCCGAAGACGAGCTAGAAGAAGGAGGAGTCGCCGAAGACGAGCTAGAAGAAGGAGGAGTCGCCGCCGATACAGAAGAGGTTACATAATGAGACGAAGGTTCCGCTACTACAAGGGGTAGTAATCAATGGAATTAATCTTGAATTCGGTTGTTATCAAACATTATGAGTGGAAACAAAATTTTGTTTCTTGTGTAACCTTATTGTGCTATCAAACAATGCTAGGGCGACCGAAGGACTGACCAAAAATCAACTTTAAACTAAAATTGTAGATTGACAAGTAAATATATCTGGCTTTGAAAAAATTTTAACATCATACTTGAGACTCTAGGCGAAAATCGTCACAAGTGGGCGATCATTTCTGACGTCACCTGTGACCGTGCCTTCAGCATCTATTATATTTCTCGAGAGGAACCGAAATGAAAGTGTTGCAAACAAATCTTTTAAGCTGCAACTGCAAACAAATGTTCAACGGCACAAGTACACAAGCTCCTTTGATTCCACTTGAAAACAGGGGTATAAGACCCGGTGGGCTCAGTCAGTTGGTCCAATATATATAATGTGTGTGTCTGAAAGTAGAAACTGGACCCTAGTCTCTGAGTCCGGGTTGCATAAAATGTACCCTTTCTCTGACTTTGCCAAAATTTTGTAACCCTTTTTACTGAGAATGTTCAAGCTCGAGCATGTCTTTTTGAAACCAAGTCATATATGAACAATTCAATTTCTTAAACTTATCTTATCTCTAAAGGCATATTAAAGGCAAAGTTCACTCAATTTTACAACAATCCCTTATGGTTCTTGATATAAATTAACAAAATCAGACAGCTGTAAAACTTTAACTGCAACATATTGCTTGCTTCACAACATTGCGTTCGATTTTTTTTTGAAGAAATGGAAAAGTTGTGTCCCTGCAATGAGTACAAACTAGCCAAGACTTGAACAAATACCCAAATTATTTATCAAGGATTAGAACAATGGACTAGATGCTACTGCAAAATTTGTTGTACTTCAATAGCCATTGATTTACCAAAAAATCTGAAAACATCATATCAGTCTAAAATTCTCAAGATTTATCCCAAGCTTTTTTCGAAATAAATTCCAAGGAAAATCCTAGTAGCCTCAAAAATTTCAAAGATCTTCAGCCTACGAGCAGATTTTACAGAATTTCCTCTATTTGTAAAGTCGGTGCGCACAGGACAGCAGGACCGAGGGAAATGGCATCCCGTAAAAACTAGACCCTAAGACCCAGGACCCCTAAGTGCTAACATCAAAACAACCCTGAAGATCATAAGGGTCATCACCCCGATAATGATGTAGGTCATGAGCAAGGCCTGTGTCTGCTATGAAGGTGCAGGCAATTTCCTTGGGTGCTGCTTGAAGCTTTTCCATGATACTGCCCTTCCTAGTCCGAAAAATATTATACAGTCAAGGCCGGCAAAACCGGGAAGGCCGGATAGGGGGGGGGAGGGGGCTTGGTCCCCCACTTTTCCTCAGAGTCTTGCTCATGACTACCCTGGGTACCAGACTCACTATTTAAAATAATATCTCTATTTTATTTTATATATAGTGAGTCTGGTACCCAGGGTAGCTCATGACCTGCATCAAAGGAAGGTTTTAGGCAAAAGTGGAAATAAATGTAGTATATCATTTTGCAAGCAACTCTGCCTAGTATTCTCTTAAATATGTCCTTAGCTTTACCTTTGTTGCTTTGTCTTTACAATAGAAGACATATACAAAATTGAGTATGGGGAATTAACCGAAAAAATCGGTAATTGTTGAAGCTGTATAATGAGTAACAGCTTGGCTTAGGAAATAGGTCGAGAGACCTGATCCAGAAGAACTTGGTGCCAGCACAAATTGAAGGAGTTTCGCTTTTTCTATTGCCTAAACTTTGCTCACACAGTCTATTTGTCACCAAAAAATTTCTCAGAAACATTACAAAAAGAAAGAAATCGCTGTTGAAGGGAGAGAAACTGGCGAAAAGAAAATGAATATGTGATAAGAATTGAGGATATGTGAATTGTGAAAGAATTGTTTTATAAAAGAACATCAAGAAAAATTCAAAGTTTGATTGCATCGATAATCCATTCCTACTATGAAAGATAAGATCTAGAAGTGATTATAAATTCTATTAAAACTCTTTCCGACCAGCGCATTTTGAAAGTTTTACAATCACGATTTTTTGTTAAAAGCACATTTTTTCCGAAATATTTAAGATCAGATGTTACAAAACAATATCCCAATTGTACAACTTGCTTAAAGGACAAGTGACACGCTTTTGGCGCCAATTTTTTTTCTTTTAACTTAAAGTAAAATGCTGTATGAGAGTGTTGTTGAAATATTTTTCCTTTCTGATTTCATTTTCCTACTTAAAAACCCTTTTCAAATTATGGCGGGAACGTAGATTGTGATAATTTGTTATTGCTGCTACTGGTATACAGCGCAATATTACCGTTTACAACACGCTTCTAAACGAATTCAGTTCGTCTGGACCTGTCGCGTCGTGTTCCCTAAACTCTCTATTAATTACAGGAAAATTCCGAGTTATCACAATGTACGTGATAAAAAGCAAAATCGCGCCCCTGCGCCCCCTGATTAGAATTTTTTGTTCTAAACCAGGAAAAGATGATCTTACTTCTAAAAGATGATCTATAAGTTGATGAAAAGAAAAGATAGGGTGAAAAGTGTGTCACTTGTCCTTTAATCTTTTATTTTAGTTGACAGTTCTTCTTTTGATTTATTTCCTTCTCCGTCTTATTTTGGGTACTTTAAAATCTAAAAAATGTTTCATTACGAGCTATATTATAAAGGTTATTCTAAAATTTTGCAAGACCTTTCTAATTTCAAGGAAACATTACAACAGATTAGACTATGGGACATGTTGATAAAACAAAGCTTAAGTATACTGTCTCGGATTTTCCTTCAGTCAAAATCCATTTTAGACACAGTTTCTGGCCCCCCAAATGTGTATCAGTGTACCGTAATGTTGTATAAAAAGCAATTGAACATCCATGTGCATGTGTATACGAAAATAATATTAAAATAATGAACTTTATGAAAATAATATACTTTGTGGCTATATCGCGCATGCATAATACAACATTTGAGCTTGATATGATATGATATGTGCAGTGGAGGGGCTGAGTCGTTCCCCGAGTCATACATTACGACCCGTAGAACCAGGATGTACGATTCGGAATTTACAGCGAGTTAGCCAATCTCTACATTATTATGCCGTAGTGATATCATTATAACGCAAGAGTTCACTCACCAAAATTTATTAGAAGCAGAGTAGAGTCAGTTAGAGCACCAATAGGATCGCGAGGCGTGGTCACATCGAGGGGAAGGACCAGGATTCTACTCGATAAGCACAGCTGCCTAGTGTCATAGAAGCTACTTCAGATGCTCGGCAGCTACAAATACAAAAAAAAAACAAAAAATAGCAAGTGTCTGCTGATTTCTGGTAGAGAAAGGCAGCGAATCCTCCCTATTTCTGTATATTTTCTACTCAATATAGGTTGTGGACTTAAATTAGTTTATATTTGCTATCTTTCAAAAGGAAAATGCAAATTTTAGGCTTGGGTAAAAGATCCAATTTCTCTACAATGGTTATAAAGACAACGTTAGAATGACATTTGGGTAAATCCATACATAAAAAAAGCACAAATTATTGAAAAATTGGGCATCAGTCTAATGCACCTGTGCGTTGTCACACAAAGTCATGTCGTAGAAGGTCGTATCTTTAGCACAATCATATTCAATAGAAAAATGAGTATAGAGTATGAAACGTCAGAACATAGACCGAAAATTTTACGCTAGGAAATATATACCCAGTTGTGGATCGAAATAGGTCAATCAGAAACGCGAACACATGATTGTCGAGATTGCCCAATCAGTGCCGCTTGTTATGAATCCTTGACCTCGGAAGAAATACACAGTTTCCTCCGATTTGTCTCCGAGAAAGCGATTCATCGAATACAACAAGTCTCTATAAACAACGTTATGAATTGGAAACAGCAAGCGAAGAATGCATACAAGTTAATTATAAGCGAATATCTCAAATACAAACGAATACAAGCAGAATACAACCCTCGGTTGTTCTCAATTCTCTAATCTTCCTCAAACATTTGACCTCCCTCCATCACCAAAACTCGACCTCCTTCCTCTCTCATTAATCATACTAATCTATTCTCATGCCACGCATACAAACCTTCCTTTTATACAATACACTCCCGCCCCGCCAATAGAGCAGTCAGTAATGTTAAAGTTTAAAATATTTAATCAAGTTACAGTGCATACTCAAATGTTATTCTATCTAACGACTCTGCCTTCTTCATCTTGTACAAATCTAATTATGGTCCGTGTAGTTCTTCCGCGACATCCTCTGTTAACTCGACTAGATATAACTTTCCCAATGGTCTCTTTATCTTCGTAGGTTTTTCTCCTTTTTGAATAGCGTTAACAATTGCACTCCTCACTTCTACATCTTTGCTGGGTAATAACCCTTCAACTCGTCCCAGTCTCCACCTGTGTCTTGGAACTTTGTCTTCGTAAATTGTAACGACATTACCCTCCGCAATATGTGCTCCCTTTCGCCAATTTTTATTTTTGTGATATTCCCTTTAACCGGGAAGGTACTCTCGTCGAAATCTCGATTTGAAATTCTCCAGAACAATCTGTAAATACCGAGCTCTCCTCGTAGAAACTTCTTTTGTCAGATCACAATTCAAATCTTAAAATGTAAGACTAGGTTTGTAAAAAATTCGCCTGCCAATAATTAAATGAACGGGAGTCAACGCTTCTCCTAATTCTTCCGAGCTGTAAGTCAATGGACGCAAATTTGGCATGCTTTCGATCTCAGTTAAAATAAGACCTGACCTGGGACGCCTCTTCTTGACTGGAAACGAGATAGGCCACGTCTGAAAGACTCTGCTCCAAGATCCGGATTAAGCTCGAGATGTACAGCTCTGTATACTGCGCAGGTTGTTAACAATATGTAAGCCTTGTACATACGTTCATAAGTTCTATAAATGTTCTTAACGAACAAGGGTCCAGCAAAATCTACTCCAATTGAATTCTTAGAAAGTCAAAATCACGGTTGGCGACGGTGGTGCTATTGATATTTCGTCACTTCTCCCATCGACTCTTTTGCACTTACAGTACTTCAACAATAGCATCCCTCCCCACAAAAGGTCTTACAATGGCAATAAACGTTGTCTCCGAAATATTCAATCAAT